GAATTGGTTTGCAAGTGGTAAAGAAATTTTGAAACAAACAATGTAGTATGAGGCACCTGTGTCTAAAAATTGGACTTTTTCCAGAAATACCACTTTTTAAAAAAAGAATTCCAATAATACCACCCAACCCCAAAAAATTCCAAAAATACCACCCTTTTTCAAAAACCGACACCCCACCCTGCGGTTTACACCAAAACCGCTAGGCGGGGGCGCGGTTTTCTATGCAAACCGCTGGGCTAATGGGGAGGTTATAAAAACCACTGGGTGGGGCGGCGGTTTTGGGCCAAACCGCCACCCCACATAGTGGTTTGGTCCAAATTTTTTTATTTTTTTTTCGATCAACTCCTAACTTCGGCCGAAACTTCAAACGAATGTAACTTTGCACTCGGGTATCCGATCGTAGCAAAAAAAAAAAAATTCATTTCGCATAACTTTTCAAGATCAACAACTTTTACTAGGATGAAATTTTCAAAACAGGAATTAGTTGTGGATATACGGGACCTTGGGAATAACTTTACCTTTACTTTTCACAAATCCATGTACATTTCAAAATTATGATTATCTTAAAAGTTGTAGATCTTGAAAAGTTATGCGGAATAAAAAAAAATCATGACGTTTGGATTTTGGAGCATAAAGTTATGGCCGCCCAAAGTTTGACGAAGTAAAAAAAAGGCTCGTTCGGGGTAGCAAATGACGTTTTTTCTAGACGAAGGTGATGACTCGATATTTGCACATGTTTTTCCCCTTTGTTTCTTGATCGTTTAAGCTTGCATTATCGCTTCTTTGGCCTATTTTACGCTAGTTTGTGTTCCTTTGTTACGTTTCAGGTCCTAGCACATAAAGTGAAGCATAGGCGCAAGTTTCAAGTCAATCAGAGATCAATTGGCGATTCGGGAGAAGAAACTCTGGCATGACCTGAAGAAGAATGGATTTCTACCTCACTTTATGGACAAAGAATCGTGCAAGTTTGTCATGAAAAGAAAGAGGACGAGACTACGAGCGTCTGGGATCAAACGGCGACTGATTCGGAGTCCGGACGAGGGAGAAACGAAGCATTGAATATAGGGGAACAGGTTCGGCAGTGAAAACACGGGCAGGAGGCCTTCAGAACACGGCCGTGTTCTGTGACCGTGCTTTTACTGCCGAGAGCTAATTCGAGTTTGGCAGACATGAGCTGATTACACGGGCAGGGCAGAGACAAAGCACGACCGTGTTTTCCCAAAGCACGGCCGTGTTCTCCCAAAAGCACGGCCGTGTTTTCCCCAACTGCTGGCAGTGTAATTAACCCTAGCCAAAGCACGGGCGGGCTGAGGCAAAGCACGGCCGTGCCCTCGACAGTGCTTTGGCTAGTGATGCCCTTTTAAGCAGATTTCAGCCAAAACAGAGGGGGATTCGAGTTTTAGAGAGACAGAGCGATTCCTAGAGAGAGAAAGCGACGAACAAGAGTCTCCAAGTGCCCTAGCTTGATCTTCAACACCATTGGAGCTTGGCTTGAGCTTGGAGAAGTGCCGATTCAACGTCCAGGAGCAGAAATCCATCTTCACAGTATGATTTCCGCATCTGATTCTGCTTTTGCTTCTTTCTCCATGGAGTAGTTCTCCCATTCATCTGGGTGTGGGAAACCCTAGATCTGTATGTTAGGATTGATTGTATGAACCCAAGTACTGTTTCTATGATTTGATTATATTCGATTGAGGTTTGAATGATTGAATGGCATGAATCCTGATCAAATTCCTGTTGTTTCTGCTTTAACCTAGAATGAGAATATCTGCCTAGGTTAATAGAGTATCCTTAATTGAAGGTAGCGAATTGGGGACTTTAGTCGAGGAGCCAATTCACTATTCTGTACCGAAGTCAATTCGGTAGTGGAGGTTTGGTTCGTTAGGGCCTCAATCTGTTTGCTCCGGTGGAGGTTAGTCGCCCGCTAGAGACTCAGATTGAGAGGGTCTGAAGACCTTTAGTCGAGACTTCAGACTGTTTGAGAACCTTCCGCAGTATAACTATCATAGAAATTGAACTTGGTAATTACAATCCGGCTTAACTGTAGTCTAGGGGGAACCATATCCGGGTGATCTCTCTTAACTTGAAAACAACCGTTTAGTTGCTTTGCTTGCTTGTTAGTTTAGACCTTCACTAAAGTTCATTGCTAGATAATACGAATTCACCGAGTAGTCATCACATCTAGGACCCGGGTTGACATTGAAACCCAAACCCGCTATACTACGCTTTAGGAAGTGGTTACACTTGGCCATTTTCTAGAGTGACAGTAGGAGTGAGTCAGAAGGCGGGACCCAATCGCCTACGGCTGTTTGCGGCTTGCCTCGAAAAGTTATTCGGATTAAAAAAAAATCGCTACGATCGAATACCCGAGTGCAAAGTTACGTTCGTTTGAAGTTTCGACCGAAGTTAGGAGTTGATCGGAAAAAAAAAATTGGACCAAACCGCTAGGTGGGGTGGCGGTTTGGCCCAAAACCGCCGCCCCACCCAACGTTTTTTATAACCGCCCCTTAGCCCAGCGGTTTGCATAGAAAACCGCGCCCCGCCAGCGGCTTTCGTGTAAACCGCAGGGTGGTGTGGCGGTTTTTGAAAAAGGGTGGTATTTTTGGAAATTTTTGGGGTTGGGTGGTATTTTTAGAATTTTTTTTAAACAATGGTACTTTTTGATTTTTTCCCTAAAAATTCATGTTTGAACAAGGGAGGCTGAATGGCAATGAATATACGAAGTTAGTACATATTTACCAGCTGGATTTGGGAATTATTGCATCTACTATGCTACTGAGAAAGCTGCATGACAGATATTTGGAGAATGTGGTGGTGATGGAGAAGGTGAAGAGCTAGTGGTCATTACCTAAAGCAGAAATCTGAGTCGACTCATTTCATCACCGGTCAGTTGAAGATTCACCATATTGCCTGAATTGCTGCCACTTCCTCCAGAACTGACACTCCCAATCCCACTGTTGGATTGTGTCTCAACAACACCATCCTCTGATTCATTCACTACTTAGAAAAATGAGCTCCAACATTTGTTCCTTGTTCTTCCTCTTCAACTTCCAACAATCTGCAATGTTGTGATTGGTTGTTTTGCAGTATCTGCAAAACAATCCTGTGTCACCTCCTTTTGCACTGCCTTGTTTTGGCACTTGTCTCCCAGCATTGTTACCATTGCCTTGGTTTGTTTGCCTTCCATATGATGCAAGAGCTACTGACTGTGTGTTTCTTCCTTTATCAGACTTGAGCTTATGCTCATGTTGAAGTAAATCTCCATATGCTACCACAACAGTTGGAAGGGACTTCATCATCAAGAGATGTGTCTTGACTACATCATATGCAAGGTTTACTTCTCTCACAAACCTCACAAGGTAATCTGTCTCTTGTTTTGCCTTAAAGGCTTCCACAACTAGACAAGGCAGAATTTGTCCTAGAGCAAAGGTACATGAAACTATTGGGATGTACTTTGGATAATCTTCCCATAACCTCTTCATCAATGTATAATACTAATTTATGGTCATGTTTCCTTGCTTAATCTTCTAGGTTAGTCAATTTCACAGCATTAGCTTGACCAAACCTGCCTCTCAATTCTTCCCACAAATTATGTGCTACTTCATGATTTTGAACACTTCGTTTGATATCCTTATAAAGAGAATTGATTAACCAATAGAGAACAACAATATTGCAAGCATCCCATGCTCTATACCCATTTGGATCTGTCCTAGGATCTGAGATTTGAACAAAACCACCAATGAACCCAAGCTTGTACTTGATTTTGAGAGCTATGTGAATAGATCTAGCCCACATTTGATTGTTATTACCATCTAACACTTCAGACACGATAGATTGAGAAAGATTCACATTAGGGTTTTGATAGAAAGGGTTACCAAACTGAAATTTGGAGAAGGTTGAGTTGACTTTGTGGCTGATGCACTTGTAGTTGAGTGAACAGCTAACCTATTGTCCTCTGTTTAGGGATTTTATATTTATATATGGGTTCTCAATGGCTAATACACATTAATAACCGTTAATTGAAACCCATTCACTCAAGCCCGACACGTGGCTGGTTTGGACTCGTTATTAGCATACTAATTTGCATTAAACAGATCAACACCTAAATGAATAAAATGATGCCGCAGTGAAAGTTTCCTTCTCAGTTCCAAACTTTCATTCTTCTCCACTTTAGTCCATCGTGCTGATGCTGGTGAATTGACTCAATCCTTGCCTGATCAAGATTGCAATGCAAAACTGTTGTAGCTGCTGTTCTTCTGGTATCAGCTCCTTGTTGATCCTCCAATATGTTTCCCTTTGTTTCTTTATGGAGAGAAATTTGGAGGGAGTTGATCTCGGAGGAAAAAAAGGAAAAATTCTAATCTTTTTGTGGAAGAGAAAGGAGCAATAGTGGTGTTAAAATTGGGAAGTGGAGAACGAGGATTTAAAGGGAACCAAAGAGAAATATGAAGTGTATGGTTGCGACGAAGGGAGAGACACTGATATCTTGTCGCTTTGTTTTTGCAAAATGCATATCCTTCTTGAAGCACTCTTCATTGATTTACTTTCATTTGTTTGAGTTTATCACGTTTTTATTTAATTTAATTTAATGAATGAATGCCCTACCTAATTGCTTCGCTTGGTGCATGCAATTAGAAGCTGATGAATCGTTGTTGATTTTGAAACGAACCATGATCTATGGTGCCTACATTCTTGTATCATTACGATAATGTGGCATATAATTTAGCAGAGACGATTTTGAGGAAGTTATGGTAATTCATGTGCATTGTGTTATTATTCCTGAACCAGCACCATGTTGGGATTACTTAGGCAGTTAGTTAGGAGAACTAACTATATGGCAGATGATTATCTGGCTTTGGTTTGATTTCCATAATTTTGCTTGCTTTAATATTAATAATAATGTATCAGATCAAACTCAGGACAGGACATGATTATCCTTATCCTTATCCTTATCCTTATCCGCCCCAATGTGTTTGATACTCACAGTCACAGCTAGGAAATAAGAGAAACAGAAATAGATTTATATACCAGTCATTCATCATTATATAATTTCAGTCAAAAGAAACGTACAGTAACCATCCATGACAACAATTAATATAAAATCAACAACGTAACACAGAGAAAGGAGAGATTGAGCAGAAGAGAATCATAAGAAGCGCAAAAGCAAAGGATTGTGATTTAAGACGATTAATCAAACATATTACCAGCTGATCTGTCCCCCCATTCTGGTATTATTTTCCTTTTGTTTTGGTCATGTACTTGTTGTCTTAGTACTTGTACTCCTTGACGTACAAGCTCTCGGAGGCCAACCCACCGGCGGAACCACCAGCGTACTTGCCGAGGGTAGCATCAGAATTGGCCTTGCACCTCTCCAGGAAGGCCGCCTGAGCTTTCTCCACGTTCTCCTTCTTCCCTCCCCACGTCTTGAGGGTGCTCTGCTGCAAGGCTCGCCCGAAGGAGAAGGAAAGAGTCCACGGCTTCAGCACTTGCAGCTTGTTCATGGCGTTCAAGTTCTTGGTCGCCTCTTCCTCGCTCTGCCCTCCTGACAAGAACACGATTCCGGGAACCGCAGGAGGGACGGTCCGGCGGAGTGCCGTCACAGTGTACTCTGCTATCTCCTCTGCCGTCACCTACGTAACACAATATCATCATCATCATCATCAATTTAAAAGCAGCCCCATCCATCCATATAATGGAAATTTGCAAGTTAGTTAGTTAGTTAGTTAGTTAGTTACCTTGGGGCTGTCGGAGCCGGGAGTGACCATGTTAGGCTTAAGCAGAGTTCCCTCGAGAAGCACATGCTGCTCATTCAGCGCCTTGTACACGGCCGCCAGCACCATCTCCGTCGCGGCGGCGCACTTCTTGATATCGTGGGACCCATCGGTTAGTATCTCGGGCTCCACAATTGGCACCAGCCCATTCTCCTGGCAGATAATGGCGTAACGGGCCAGGCCCTGAGCATTCTGCTGGATCGAAAGCTCGGACGGCTCGTTGGGCCCAATCTTGAGCACGGCCCGCCACTTGGCGAACCGCGCCCCGGCCTTGTAGTACTGCTGGCACCGCGCCCCCAGCGAGTCGAACCCCTGGGTGGTGGTCTCTCCGTCGGTTCCGGCCAGCTCCACGGTGCCCTTGTCCACTTTTATCCCGGGGACCACCCCGTTCTGCTGGAGCACGTCCACAAAGGGCTTCCCGTCGGTGGTTTTCTGGTAGAGGGTTTCCTCGAAGAGGATGACGCCGGAGAGGTACGGGAGGGATCCCGGAGAGGTGAAGAGGAGCTCGCGGAGGGCTTGGCGGTTGGACTCGATGTTCTCCACGTTGATGCTGGCTAGCCGCTTTCCGATGGTCCCCGTGCTCTCGTCGGCGGCCAGGATGCCCTTCCCCGGTGTGGCGATGTACTTGGCCGTCCTCATTAGCTCATCTACATATATATAGATTCCATTAATTCCACGACATTAATTTACAGAGAAATTAAATTAAATTAAATTAAGCGGCCGGTGATTACAAATATCCAACTAATTAAATTCATGCAGCCGTGCGTGGCCATCAAATTATTGAAGCTCAAACAATAATATAGTGGGTGGAGTAGGGAGGGAAAGGAAGTAGGTACCTGCATATTTGCCAACAAACGCAGACATCTTCTTGGAGTGGTGGGCGAGTAAGCGTTTAGGGACAGGGAGGGTTTGTTACTAATTAGACTGACACAAGGCCTTCCTGATTATATATCTTCAGGCTTCAGCTATGGGATGAGAATATTCCCACTTGAAAATATCTACAGATTTTCTCTCCTGGATCGGTTGAGGTGTTTGTTTGGTCCACTGAAAATTAGGTGGACGTCATCACATTATATATCCATACCAGCGACGGATCCAGAACATAGTAAAGCACTGGCCGTATTTGAATATAATATTAGATGTCGTAAACAAAAATGGTTAACATTCCCAAATTTATAGTATTTCAAATGAGAAATTAGTTACAAAATTACCAACGGTAACAGACAATGCCAATTATAATAGAAGGTTTTTTAATTTGGCAAATCCCATCAATAATATAATCTTCATTCATATCAATAGCATACTCTCTCTCAAATAAAATAGCTATGCAATCAATGAAAAATTCATCGCGCATTTTGTTGCGCAAATTAGTTTTCACATATTTCATTGCTTAAAATGTTATCTCCATGATAGCCGCTATATACGGGCAAGGTCAACACTAGGCGAATAAAAAAAATCACTTTGTTTAGGGGGGTTTCTTATTTCAATGAAACTTTATACGGTCTTTTACGTTTTAGACATTTAGGTTTTATTGTTTTTTTTTTTTTTTTTTTTTGCAAATGAAATCATTCGGGCTAGAATTTCTATGCTAAATTGGGAATAGTTGTTTGCATATGTTTATCTAGACCGCTTTTCTAGTTACACAAAATTCTATTATCAAATAACACTCGGCCGACTTTTAAATAGTATTGGGCCGAATACCTAAAATCGAAAAATTTGTAAGCACTATACTAGCTCTGGATCCGACGGAGGGCTGGGCTGTGGCCCGGGTTGGCCCAGCCCTAGATACGCATCCATACTATATGTATATATAAAACAACGAGTAGGGGATAACACCATTATGAGTTGTAATAATCTGCGCCGGAGTTGTAGTCCTGCAACTACAATAAGCGACTACAACTGCAAAAATAATGACTATAATAACTGCTGTTGTACTACTAATTAGTATGATGCTAAGTGCTAGCCCGTATGGTTAGCAAGCTAACCAATCATGTAGATTAGACATGTATGGTTATAGAATTTGTTAATATTATGAAACAATTCTCAAGAATCGGTAGATCCGAATAACTCGAGTTGTAGGGAACAATGCGGTCAAAATAGTGTTTTAAATCTTTAAAGCTTACATTTTTACGCTTCTAGATCACCAAAACGCTTCCACGTAGAATCACAATTTTCCCTAACTAAGATAGTCAAAATTGTGCTTCAAAGTTTACTCTTTTACACTTCCGCAATGGGAGTAGTGGTGGTATTAATTAAGATGTAATGAATGGGTTAATTGAAGAGTGGTATAGTTTGTGGATTGTGGAAGGAACAAAAGCGGGAGGGGGTGCATGCATGGGAACGGGAATGGGTGGTGGCAGAGTGGATAAATCTAGCTAGCTAGGAAAATGCATGAGTGATGGTGAAGCGAGACAAGTGGCGGCCAATAAGCATCGCCTTTATCCTTCCGGCTGGCATAGTTTGCTCATCGACCGGACCTATGTTATGGATTTTGTGTGGAAAGGAAAGGAAACCATATATTTATTTGTCCGCTAACCGACATATATGTGCAGTATGGATTTTGAGATTTGCCTCAGCCACTGCCGTCAACCTCAGTACTCTCGATCGATAGTCTCCTACGTACCTCATTTCATATATATGCTGAAATCTGAAATGTTTCAATAACCACTTCCTTACTCCTAACTAACCGGCCACCACTTTCCATATCTCGATTTAGTTCTTGATATACACATAGAGCTGAAATGAATTGAGTGATTTGCAGGAAACATCAACTCCAACATGCAAGTATGCAACCAAGAGCAGTAATTAAGGTTTCATTAAGTCGACATCCTGAACATACTATATAGCAGTTACCTGTATCACAGAGAAGAGTACTGAAAGAACGTAGCTGAACCATGGAGACATATATGGTACCTGCCATACTGCCTAGGAACGCCAATGAAAATGTAAGCCTCTGCATACATTTTCATTTAATGTTAGAAGGAAAATGATCAGATTTAGGGTGTCCAACAAGGAAGGATATATGATCATGTATGTATATGCACCATTCTTGAGAATATAACTCTTTTAAAGCCAGTTAAAGCATCTCAGAATTAATGGCTTCCTTCAGTTCTGATAAATGACATGTTAACACATGGCATAGCTATCTTTGCTGCCTAGGATTAGACAACTCATAGTACATCTGCCTCATTATTTTAATGAATTCATAATGTCCTTAGTGACAGTTCAAAGCCTCTAACTCAGCTAGCAATTCTCAGGCATGATACTCCAATGACTGATTTTCTTCGCATAGACAGAAAATCAGGAAACTATTGACTTGTACATCGTGAAAGGATATTGACTTGTACATCAAGTTTGTAACTTCTGTTTATCTGCTTATTAAAGAATCAGAATCCAAGAATGTGGAAAATACCAAAAAGAAAACTTCTGAGTCAGCTGAAGAAAACTGCTAATCATAAAAGCAAATTTGATGTTTTCAATTGCTTCTCACCTTTCAATTAGAACATCACAACCCAAATATTACATGCATTGATTGATGACTCCTATGTTCAGAAAGTAATTAGCTTTGCAACCTTTAGGAAACAAATCATGAAGAATCATAAACGTCAATGAATTTCCAGCCAACAAGTTCATCGTTTGTGTTGCTCAAGACTACTAGAAGGCTCTCAAATATAGACTTAAACAATGTCTACAACTCGATGATCTCTATGGTTCCTCTTGACTCCCAAGCAACTTTCCAACACCATACACCAATCTGCTAATTTCTTTATGCGAGATCGTAGGGTCTGCCAGCAGAGTATGAGAATTATCAAACCTCTCCAAACAAAAGCTTCATTGAGGGAAATGTGGTGCTGCCCTTTCGTATTGGACCATGATGATACAAAAGTATGTTCTCATCAATCCATTCCTAGTCTAGCCACCAAAATTGCTCCAACCAACTAAATCTAGCTTTTTCATTAATTCAATCTAAAAGGGCAGCAACGAATTCTAATCTCCAATCACCTTCACCATAGCTCAAACTCTTGCTATCAAAAGCAAATCATGATCCCAAGGAGTCTAGTCAGCTCATTTTACAAGAATTAGGCAATTTGCCAACTCTACTCCCTAAACCCAGACTAATCTACATCCCTAGATCGACGGAAATCTCACCAGCACCATGAACGCGGGAAAAATGAAGAAATTTGATCAGAAGATATCGACGGTACAATCAGAAAAGCAGTAGGGGAGGCACTCACACATTGAAGGTTCCCGAAACTGTTTCGTTGGCGGACCGAACGGCGGATTCAAGATCGAACCCGAGACTCATTCCGCTGCCTTCATCGTTGGCGTTTCTGGACGAGGCGTAAGAATTCCAGTCAGCCAAGAGAGACGACGATGTGTTCTGCTGCTGTGGCAGCTGTTGGTCTTCGCTAACGGTACCTGAGAACCAACTATGTGCCATTTTCTGCATTGCGCTCTGTGCTCCGAAGTTACAAACAGAGTCTACCGCCCTTAACTCGACCAGGAGAAGGACAGTTCTACCTGATCGGGATTTCCCGAATTAGGAATCGCAAATGGTGGTTAAGCTTCTGGTGGAGGGAGGTTTCGGAGGTTGGGGTGATTGGTTGATTGATCTCTCTCTCCCTTCCTTCTGCGAAGAACAAACAGTTCGCCTCGTCGAAGCTTCCAAGCTAAGCATTGATGGGGAAAACAGGGGCGAAGTGACAAAGGCCCAAAACGCTTCTTCTGTATTTAATTAAAGCCCCAAAGAAAAGCAAACGCGGCGCCGTTTCGATGGAAGGCAGGCGCAGGACTGGGGAAAACATGGGCTTCAGTTAGACAATGGCTCAAAAGGTTTCCTCTCTATTTAATTGAAGGCCCATAAAACTGAAATCGGACGGCGTTTCGAGTGGGTGGTAGGCGGATGGCCGTCGAAAACGAAAACACCCTCAAAGTGGAAAAACGGGTGCCAGAAACGGACGAAACTCGAAACTTTTCCTAAATCGAAACGCTTCTTCTTTATTTAATTGAAGCTCATAGAAAAGCAAATGCGGGGCCGTTTTAGAATGGAGATGGGCGCTGGTCTGGGGAAAACATGGGCTTCAGTTAGACAATGGCCCAAAATATTTCCTCTCTATTTAATCGAAGGCCCAGAAAAACTGAAATCATGAGGCGTTTCGGGTGGCAGGTAGGCGGACGGCCTGCGAAAACGGGAAATCCCCGCAAAGTGAAAAAACGGGCACCAGAAACGTAAGAAACGCGAAACGTTTCGGGTCCTCAAAACCAAAATCGAAACGCGAGAAATTGACGAGAAATTGAAATTGACGAGATATCACGATATTATATTATATCGCGATATTTTGGCGTTTTATTGACTTTTTGCGATATATTGACCCTGTGCTGTATTGGCCACTTGATTAGCAAGAAAAAAACGAGAAAAAGAACATAAATCCAGACGACGATCGCATAGAACAGCGGGGAAATATCAGAAAACGTATTTCGATCATAACGTGTGTAAAATTCGATGAACGATAAGGAAGCGAAGAAACAAACACGAGATTTACGTGGTTTCCTCGTTCGATGTGAACGAGACTACTCCACGGAGAGCTTGAGGCTCTCGGGCTGAAATCTTATTTTTCCCTTTCGTTCTCTGTTACAAGCCGGCAGCTACAATAGCCGAAGCTACTTAAGGAACAAAAAAACCTAACCCTAACTCTCCTAAACACATGCAACGTGGAGAGTGGGAAATTACAAAGTGATCCCTAAATTATTTAAGTCATGATTTAAGGATCACTACACTCCCCCTCAAGCGAAGGAGTGAATGTCAAGAAGTCCGAGCTTGACGAAGAGATGATGAAACTGATCAACACTCAATCCCTTCGTGAACAAATCAGCTGGCTGGTCGGAAGTGGCAATCTTAGCTGGAGCGATCTCGCGGGACAAAACCCGTTCACGAACAAAGTGACAATCCATCTCGACGTGCTTAGTGCGCTCGTGGAACACCGGATTAGCTGCAATGTGAAGAGCTGCCTGATTGTCACAATACAGCACGGTGGGACCAGAGGGTGGAACGCCGAGATCGGAAAGAAGCCACCGCAACCAGACTATCTCACTAACGGCGCTGGCCATAGCTCGGTACTCTGCTTCGGCAGACGAACGTGCAACGACAGTCTGTTTCTTGGTGCGCCAAGAGACAGGAGAACCCCCAAGCGTGATAAAGAACCCTGTGGTGGAACGGCGAGTGTTGGGACAACCACCCCAATCTGCATCACAAAAACCAGTCAATGTAAGAGGAGACGTGGCAGAGAGAAAAATGCCACGGCCAGGAGACCCTTTCAGATACCGAAGAACACGAACAGCAGCATCTTCGTGAGCCTGAGTGGGAGACTGCATTGCCTGGCTAAGGATATTGACTGCATAAACAATATCAGGGCGTGTAACTGTCAGATATAGCAGACGACCAACCAGACGCCTGTAAGCAACGGGATCACGTGCTGGGGGAGAAGGATCACGACCCAGGCGATGTTGCTGCTCGATCGGAGTGGAGCACGGACGAGCTGCAGTTAAGCCGGCATCAGTGAGAATGTCCAACACATATTTCCTCTGGTTAAGAACCATACCTTTCGGTGATCGTGCAACTTCAATACCAAGGAAATACTTAAGAGGGCCGAGATCCTTGATAGTGAAGCGATCATGGAGGAAGGTCTTAACCTGCTGGATGAACGAGAGGTCATTCCCTGTCAAGACCACATCGTCAACATAAATGAGAGCAACCACATAAATGGATCCGCGCCGATAGACAAACAAAGCATGATCAGCTCGGCTCTGCACAAAGTTGAGCTCGACTAATGCCTGTGTAAACTTCTGGTACCAATTCCGAGAGGCCTGTCGCAAACCATAGAGGGATTTATTTAGGCGACATACTCTGGTCTCACCAGGACGCGAGAAGCCTGGTGGGATTTTCATATAAACTTCTTCCTCCAAATCACCATGAAGAAAGGCATTGTTGACGTCGAGTTGATGGATGTGCCATCCGCGGTGCAAAGCAATGGTGAGAAGGCAGCGGACTGTGACCAGCTTAGCAACCGGGGCATATGTGTCGTGAAAATCAACACCTTCGACTTGCGTGAAGCCCTTAGCAACAAGCCGCGCTTTATAGCGCTCAATGGAGCCATCCGGGTTGAACTTGATCTTGTAAACCCATTTACAGTCAATCGCCTTCTTCCCCGGAGGAAGGAAAACCAAGGTCCAGGTGCCATTGGCTTCCAAAGCAGAGATCTCGACCTGCATGGCATCACGCCACTGCTTGTAACGAACGGCCTGGAAAAAATACTTGGGCTCATCAATGGCCGTAACCGCGGCAACAAATGCATGGTGAGCCACTGAAAGACGATGATAACTGAGATAGTCTTCCAGGGGATATAATGTCGTGGCGGAGTGAGCCATGCCAGGTAGTTCGACGTCATAACCAGCCAGACGAGTAGAGGGGCGGCGGACACGATCACCGCGACGAAGGATGGGCTGTGCAGGAGGTGGAGTCGCTGCGGCGTCGGGCTCAAGAGGGGCCTCACCACCAGAGCTGGTCGCGGAGTCATGAACCGGCGAAGTCTCGGTGGGAGGGACAGCAACTGCGGCGGGAGAATCAGTGGCAGGTGCAGCGGCAGGCGGTGGAGTGGACGCGACCTCGGGCTGAGCAATGTCACCGTCGGAATCCGCAGCAGGGGTAGCCATGAACCGAGGCCCCGAGATCGCAGCAGGACTAAGAGCTGCCTCGCAGTTCTCATGGAAGGGGTAAACATGTTCGATGAATTTGACATCCCGGGATGTATAAATCTGCTTTGTTTCGAGGTCATACACGCGATAACCCCGCTGACCAGAAGGATAACCCATGAAAACACCTGCTCTCCCCCTTTCGCCAAACTTGTGAAGGCCATGGTGATTATCCCGAGCATACACGAGACAACCAAAACTACGAAGATGACTGTACACAGGATCCTTGCGGAAGAGAACATGATAGGGTGTTTTGTTCCCGATCGAAACCAGCGGCATCCTGTTAATGAGATAGGCTGCTGTGAGAACGCACTCTCCCCAGAATCTGATGGGCAAGTTAGCATGAAATCGCAATGCTCGGGCAGTGTCTAGCAAGTGCCGGTGCTTACGCTCCACGACCCCATTCTGCTGAGGAGTGTCAGTGCAGGAAGTCTGAAGAACAATTCCCTTCTCTTCATAGTATGTCATCAACGTATTAGTGGCAAATTCGGGGCCATTATCAGCCTGGATGCGCCGTACCTGTCCTCCAAACTGAGTAGCTATCATGTTGCAGAAATATAATAAATGACGACCAACATCCGACTTATATTTCATCAAAAACACCCAAACTGCACGACTGTAATCGTCGACAATAGTCAAAAAATAGTGAGCTCCAGAGGTTGAAGCAGTCTTATAACTCCCCCAAATATCCACATGAATCAGTTCAAAACACGAAGTGGACTTGATAGTACTGGAAACAAAAACGTCACGAGTTTGCTTAGCACGCAAACAAGAACGACAAGGGTCTGCAGTATGAATAAAAGAGCGACCAAGAGTGTTCTGCAATAAATTCATCTTCACAAGGGAAGGATGTCCAAGCCGGGAATGCCATATCTCTGACTCATCAAGCGTTCGCCGCACGGTATTTGCCATGGGGTGATTGCCGTCGAACAAGCTGAGATAATAGAGGCCATCCACATGTTTACCCATCCCAATCAGCCTCCTCGAGAGTAAGTCCTGAATTACACAGAAGTCACGCAAGAAAATCAATGCTACTGGTAGTTCTGCTGTAAGCCGGCTAACCGAGAGTAGATTGCACTGGAAGGCAGGAACATGTAGAACCCGACGCAATAATAAATCATTCGACAATTTTGCCGAACCAATACTGTGGACTTTAACTCCTGTACCGTTGGGAATTTTCACCTGCAACGTTGGAGAAGTATCCAACTCGGCATTCAACAGGGAAGCATCATTAACTATGTGCTCGTTACAACCAGAATCTATAACCCATGTTGCCGAATTTATAGTTGGAATAGAAAACGTACCAGCCATGTTGGAAGAGGGTTCGACCGAGGCTGCTGGTGGATGAGCAATGTCCGAGCCTAGCAGAGCCTTGAGGGCAGCGAATTGTGCTGCAGACAAGCCTGGGAGTGGGCTCGCTGTTGTCTCAACCTGAGCCGCTTGGGGAGATGCGCGTGGTGCACGATCACCGCGGGATGATCCGCGATCATTGTCAGCTCTGGCAGCTCCACGCTGTGGATATCCAATCAGCTGATAACAAGACTCTTTGGAGTGGCCCCGCCGTCGGCAATGAGCACATCTAGGCCGATCATCTCTAGGCCGATCATCGGGTTCCCTGTCCGGCCGAGAAGAGCGCTCGGGACGCTCCTGGCGGCGCTCCCCTTGAGCTTGGAAGGCGGCTGCTTCGGGCCTAGGACGCCTGTTGCTAGCGATTTGGCGCTGTTGGGCGTCGTTCATCACCAGTTGGTACGCCTCGCCAAGACTAGGAATGGGTTTCATCGCCAGGATTTGCGATTTGACTGTCGAGAAAGCATCATCCAATCCCATCAGAAAATCAAACAATCGTTCACTTTCACGTACCTCGCGCTGTCGGCGCTTAACATCACAGCTACAACCACCGCATATGCACTCGAGCGATGGCGTGAGGGATTGGATTTCATCCCACAATCCGCGCAGCTTGGTGTAAAATGCTGAAACGGACGCTTTCTCTTGCTGCAGTGAGGCAATCGTCCCTTTGAGCTCATACAGTCGCGGCGCACTACTTTGGCCGAACCGGGATTGCAAATCCACCCAGATTTCTCGCGCCGTGGATGCAAAACGCACGCTACTGCGTACTTCTTTTGTCATGGAGGCCTTGAGCCAACCCTTAACCATCGCGTTGCATTGCCTCAACGCCTCAGTTTCAGCCGGAGATTGCGCCGCGGGAAGGCTCCCATCCACGAAGCACAACTTGTTTTTTGCGATGAGAGAGTCGGTAAAATCCACCACCCATTCACCGTAGTTGACGTCGCTGAGAAGCTCGCTGACGTAAACATGACTCGGGCTATCAGACTGATGGAGAAGGAGATGCGGCGGCAACGGCATGATCACAGAAGCCGCCGACTTCAGTTTCGATCCCGACGTCTTCGGGGTTTCGTCGTCAGACATATTGAAAGCTAGGTTGAATCAGACCTGCTCTGATACCATGTAAAATTCGATGAACGATAAGGAAGCGAAGAAACAAACACGAGATTTACGTGGTTTCCTCGTTCGATGTGAACGAGACTACTCCACGGAGAGCTTGAGGCTCTCGGGCTGAAATCTTATTTTTCCCTTTCGTTCTCTGTTACAAGCCGGCAGCTACAATAGCCGAAGCTACTTAAGGAACAAAAAAACCTAACCCTAACTCTCCTAAACACATGCAACGTGGAGAGTGGGAAATTACAAAGTGATCCCTAAATTATTTAAGTCATGATTTAAGGATCACTACAACGTGCTCCAAAATACCTGCATCCACTTGCGATTTAGATTCCATAAGCGGTTAGGCGGCCGAAATTCCAACATCCAATTGTGAACTTGGAAGAATCGACGCTGCAGTATGTCTTCGCGTTTCTGGTTCTTGTGCATTGGACTCTACCGATTACTGGTCTTCGGTCAATCGGGAGCTATGGTGGAAGCAGAATTAATCGTCATGTCAGTTCATAGGAATATCTTCCAGAGTTGTTCCTCAAATATCCGAGGCTTCCTTGCTTGAGCAAATAGATACGTCGAGGACCAAACTGCAACAACCATCTGACAGAAGAACAAGAGCAGAAAATAACAGTTAACCTGACATTTTACATCGTTTTCCACGAAATCAAATGCAACAAGGGTCTAGGAACTAGCTAACCTCATATGGGATCGGTTTCAAGCTTCACTGACATACCCAACAGATGATGGTATCATAGTTCTTCTCTTGCCTACAACAGGTTGCAGGAAAAACTGAGATCATCAGCAACAGTTGTTTTGAGTTGAAATCACCCAGAAATGCATGATGTCTAGTTTAAGAGCACAAACCTCCACCTTTCATCCAATATAGAACCTCTTTCAAGCCCTTGATAATCTGCCGATTGTAGAGATGTTATGGTTAGGACGATTTTAACGAAAGAATCACTGTAAACTAGTATGCATGCATGGATATTAAGATGCAAGCTAGTTTAGACTTTAGAAGGGGTTCCCATGAGGTGAGATGAAGTGATCAACGCCTAAAAAATGGAGAAATGATCTCTAATGAGCCATGTACCTTGAGTTTCACGATCTATTGAGAAGATAATCAGTGTGAAGCAATCATGCACCCAACTTATGTTCAGACTAGTCGATACTAAATTCAAGCAATTAAGCTCCCTGATAATCTCGAAATACTTATAAGAAACCTAGCAGGTGCTAGGATTTAGCGGAAGAAGAAAAAGAAGAATGTGGCACAGATTGGTGAAATGCGCAAAGAGCAAGGGATCTCTCTGGCTTTCATTTTATATGTAGAACAAGAGTATAGTTGACGTTACAAAACAGTAGAAACAGAAATACAAAACAGAAATTTAAATTGACAGTAATGGTAAAGACACTTGGCTCATCTCCATTTGTCAAAGAGGTTCCCACCCAACGGTAAACAGTAAGAGCTCCACAACGACGTCGTCTCGCTCCTTCGTTTAAGCTGGATGGAAGGGAACCCAGAAACGTTTCCATTTCTGGGTGGCGTTTCGTTCTTCACTTCTTCAGAATCCTCTGCATCTTCACTGCTGCAGAGCATCATCTTCATCACCTTCGGTTAATAATACTATCGACGAAATCATAAGTAGTTCTCTTCCACCGTTTTCCACGAGCATGGCTACTGCCAAAGATCCATACCATATCTCGAAATATATAAAATCATAACATTGAAGTTACTATTCATTAGTGGTTCCCAAACTCCTCCAAGTGCAAGTGAGGAAGTGTCAAGTTCTTCTTTTACCCCACTCTCATTTTATAACCTATGCGTTCATTTATTGTCCATTGGGTCTACATCTATTGTCCATTAGGTTTCATCTATTGTTCATTATTTTCCCTATTGCAATAATTATCCATTAGGTTTGCGTCTATGATCTTTCTCCCAAATCATCGCCTTGACCCACCAATTCGCAACCCATCTCGAAACACTATCGACGAAATCATAAGTTGTCCTCTTTCACCGTTTGCCACGGGCACAACCACTGTCGAAGATCCATACCATATCTCGAAATACTTTTGGTGGAATCCTAGGTTGTACCCATCCACCGTGTCCCAAGACTGCTACCGAAAATCCATACCAATATGCTATGTGTTGCCAAGTTTTGTATAAGGACCGAGTTCTATATTCTTTAGTGCTTTCTTATTTCTCTTTTTCTTTTGGTTAAGAATGACAATTGAACTCCATCTCATGGGTATCAAACCTAATTCGACCAGGTCAAAGCGACTTGAACCCGACTTTAGTAATTTTTAAATTTCTAATTTTTCTTTTCGTTGAGAATGACAATTGAACCCAAGCCCATGGTATTGACGAGTTTTGTATCGAGAGGGAGTTTTATCCGCTTTTGTAGTGGGCATGTTGGGTCGAGTGTGCATTTGTTAAAAACTCGATTTGACGCAGCCAAATCGAGATGTACATGGTATTTATTTTTCTCATATGCGAAGCGATGGCTAACGAGCTTTTTGCTAGTAAATATATAAGTAGAAGGTTGTTTTGGGTCTATCTCTCTGTCTCACCACCTTGTTGTCTCTCTTGCTTTTTTCTCCCCCGCTTCCGTTTCAAATGGTCTTGTGCTCTCGTTGAATTCCTTCCCCACTCTCTCTCTCTCTCTCTCTCTCTCTCTACACCTACCTCTTGCTGAAGAAAACAAGGCAGCAGATAGCAGTATCGGCAGCAGCATTTAATTAATAAAATCAAGTAAGGCGCCCATGATCTCTCATATTGTGAAGTTGATTTCATGACATTCTTTTGACGAGTTCTTTATTGATAGAATGAATGAATGCTCCCCTGACTGCGCAGCTTGTCATCCCTATCTTCTTCCACCATCCTCTTCTTCGATTCCAGCTTTTCCTTAATTAGTTTGTAGCTATTATTACTCATCCAGTCTACTCTTTCCTTACTGGGCAACTAGTCATGTGTGTGTGCATATGATAATTTTCTGCCTCGCAATCTTGTCTCCTTCCCCTGTATTCTGGGAGCTCTGTTTTCTTCTTTCCTAAAGGTCTACAATGTGTTTAGTATGTGGATCACAGAAGGTGTTCCATTTCAAAGGACACAAGTCATTTTAGTTGTCATAATATTTGTTTCTTTTGCAAGGGTAGTTGTATCTATCTATCTATCTTCCCAACATCGTTTCGTTTACTGTTTGTTTTCCTAATTAATTAATTAATTACACCAATATAATTCTTACCAACTTTAGCTGATTCACTATAGTATATATTATGCCTTCCCTTCTTCTCCTTTTCCTTATTATTGTGTATGTGGGTTGGTTGTTGAGAGTTTGATGGTCATCCTGCACTGCATTAATGGCAAAGTGATGAAATGCAGGAAGGGTGAAGAATCCAATTAATCAGAATAGCTAGCTCAGCTGTTAGAGAGAAAGTAGAAGGAAAGAAAGGCGGGGGAGGGCAGATCGAACGATTGATCATGCCACAGGAAGAAGAAAGCAGCAGCAGCAGCTGGTGCAATAGTAATATCAATGAGGAGGAGATGAGTAGCAGCGGAGTGAAGAACCTGGTGAGGGGATTCAAATCCTTAGGGTCTTCTTCTAACAAGACGGACGCAGGCGGGGGAGATGAGATGATTAGCGACCGAGAATTGGCTCACCGGAAAGCCGAAGAAGCTGGTAAGTACCTAGCAGATCCTTGTTTAATTTGTTTGTAGTAACAACTAGTTAATTAATTGTGTTTACTTTCTCCGGCCGGCCAGTTCATGTTTTCCTTAATCACCATCTATAATTAGCTTTATTATATTTAATTATATATATATATTCGATGGCAGCTTAGCTAGCACCATTCCACTAACCCTTTCCACTAATCCATATATATGATATACTAATCAGGGAAACCATGCTTAATTAGGTTACAACTTGAAGACCAGCTAAGTAATTCAGTAACTAAGAATAATAAAAATCTAATATGTGCAATGAATAGTAAGGTAGGGGGTGGCTGGCTTTATAATTATAATATTTTTGGCACCGGCGACGGTTACATGCCATTTAAATTAATGGCTTGTCGCCGGCGTTGGGCCTTTCCTTACTCGCTGTTAGTTAGTAATAGTATAGTTGCTGCAAAATGGCACATGAAGTCAAGTCACCGACGAAAGAAGAAAAGGTGAAAGAAATATGAACGTTGAGGATTAATTAGCTAGTGCTTTTGGTTTTGGTGGTCCGAGTAGAGTGTCTCCCTTCTTCTCTTTACGAATTTGGCATTGTTCCTTCATGTCGTGCTCTTTTCTTTTGCTTTTGCTTTGGAATTTCCCATGATGACCATTCATTCCCCCGTCCCCTTGGTCCTAAAGTAATTATGTTTTTACTTTGTTTTTCTCCACCCCTCTTTTCTTTCGTCCAAGTGTAATTATTTAGTCTCTCATTTTTGCTCATCCGCTATGACCACGAATGATGATGAGGCTGCGGAGAATGCGGAGGGAGCAGCCCCATTGGGCCGCAATGTTCATCATTTTGGGCCCATTCACTTCCAACAAAACTTCACTCCCCGGGCCCATCTGCTTCCCCCTTTTCCTTTTCCTTTTTTACTATCCCACACGCAGATCTCCTTAGCTTACCCCATGATATGATACCCTTTAAATTAATGGATGCCAAGGTAGGATTAGGAAATTAAGTAAGAGAAAACAATTCCATCCCCCCTCTCTGTCTGTTGTGGGGGGCCGGGCGGCCGGCAGTGGTATGCACTGCACGCCATCACTATGAATAACTGAAGAAGAAGAATGCAGGCCATCCACCGGCCCAGCTGATGATCAGTGATCATGATCCCGGCTTAGTGGGACGGTTCACTGTCCTCTACTTCATATCTTCTGCTTGTTTCTATAACTTGTTTGTTCTACTCCTACTGCTACTGCTTTGGGAGTTAGCTTTAAGTAATTAACTCGCCAATCCAATCATCACACCCAAATGTCGACTCCTCCATAAATACATTAACATAAAATCAAATGATGATGGGGTCAACTCTACTCTATTTATTAGTTTGTGATGGGTACGCCGGCCTTCATAATCATCCATCACAACCAATTCACCACTAACTGGACTAGTTTAATTCCAGGGTAGTCCCCGAAAGAAACCCCTTCCTATTTAAGGTATAAATCAACACATAATACATGATGATGTCAAAGTCATAAAGGAAAGGAAGGAAGTTAATTAGGAATGAAAAAAATATCCGTAACCGTGGATATCCGTCCGAATCCAACCTATTCGGGTAGGATAAAGCTCGAACCCGAAAGACTTTTAGTAGGTACGGGTAAAACTCGAACCCGAATATTGCGGGTAATGGGTGAGCATGGTTTTCTCACTATCCAACCCAAACCAGCCCGATTATACACATGCATATGTATTTTGTCTAGAAATAATCATTATTTTCCTCTAACATCTTTTAAATTTTGCATATAAATATGACATTTTCATGAAATTGTGTTGTTTTAATTAATTTTCTTCATTCTAGTGAATTATTGTCGTACTTTTCGTCTTGTGTAATGTGAGAATACGTGTGATTATTAACATATTGGTTTGAGTTATAAAGAAAAACTACTGCCCATGGATAACCGTGGATACCCAAAAACCGAACGGGTATAGGCATGGTTTTGATTTTTTACCCATTTCTTATGTGGGGTATGGGTGAAACCCGAACTACTTTGAATAGGGTAACATATATGTACTATCCGCTCCCGACCCGACCCATTGCCATCCCTAAAGTTAATTAGGGTACACCTACCACACTCACTTAACCTTGCATATATTATTTATTAGTGCTCATAAACCTAACATAGTTTATTAGAGTACAACTAAACTTAAATATGAACAACAATTTGATCCACACAGAGTTGAATTGGATAGAACCATTTTTTAACACTCCAATTGACCTAGTTCATTTCAATTTTGATTCTCCTATATGATTTTTTATATTTTATTATAGTTATATTAAGTCTCATAAAACTTTTAAAAAAAATAGTTATATTATGATTTATTGTTGGAAACTCATCCTTGTCCTCCCTTGTTCAGTTATTATTCATAGGGATCCCGTTATTGGTAATAGATCCACTCTTGTCAATTATTTGATGCTACAATTATAGTAGCCTTGGGTGGGCTTCGGAGGGACTTATCATTATATGGGCTTATATGGAATTAGAAACCCCAAGGCCCAAAATGAAGCCCAAAAACACTGGATTTACTGTTCAGAAGGGCTACTCTCTTCAATTCATTCATCTGCGCCTGCCCTGCCTTGCCTCCTCTTTCTTCCATCTCTTTCTGTCTATTTGGCGGGAAGAGAAGGGAAAGATCCTCCTTCTTCGTATGGCACTGGCAGGCTTGCTTAATAAGGGGCGGTTGGTAATCCAAAACTTTGTTTCTGTCGTCTGAAATTGGAGATTTTGTGGGGTTTTTTTCTTTTTCCTTTCAGCTGCGAGGAGATACCAAGCAGCAGAATGGCTTCGACAGATGAACGGAGGAGGTTGCTCCCTTCCCCAACACCCTTCCGAGGAAGAGTTCCGCCTTGCTCTCAGAAACGGTCTTATCCTCTGCAACGTCCTCAACAAAGTCAACCCCGGCGCCGTCCACAAGGTTCGATTCCCTTTCCCCCAAAATTTTGCAATTATTATTTCATTCTGCTTCATCCCATTACTATTTTCTTGAAGGTGGTGGAGAGCCCAGTAATGGCGGTGCAGTCCACGGAAGGACCCGCGCAATCTGCAATTCAGTACTTCGAGAATATGAGGAACTTCCTCGTTGCTGTTAAAAAGATGGAGCTCCTGACTTTCGAAGCTTCTGATTTGGAGAAGGTTTGATTCCATCGCTCTCTCTTTTCTGAATGGGGGGTTCATTGGAAATCGGCGTGTGTATCTCAGAATTGGTTTGGTGGACATTCTGAATTCCAACATTTCTTTGATGGGTCAGGGAGGCTCCTCAAGTAAGGTGGTAGATTGCATCCTTTGTCTGAAGGGATACTATGAATGGAAGCTGGCTGGCGGAATTGGGGTGTGGAGGTATGGTGGGCTGGTCAAGATCACTTCCTTCCCCAAGGAATCACCAGCTTCATTGATGGGCAGTGAAAGTGCCGATGAGTCATTTGATGAATCTGAATCTTCTCAGTTTGAGCAGTTGCTAGAATTTCTCCATTTTTCTAATGAAGTCCCAGTTGAAGAATCTACAACTGCCAATGTTTTGGCATTCCTTTTTGATCATTTTGGACTAGGGTTGCTGCAAGCTTACCTTAGGGACAGTAATGGGATTGATGACTTCCCTTTGAATGCAACGGTAGGTAAGACGTATTCAAATGTGAGTTTTTTCAATAACTTCTGTGTTTCTCGATGCTAATTAAGACTTGTTCCAATGTGGATGAAAAACGTGCAGGTCATAGATACATTGCTGAGCAAGGTGGTTAAGGATTTCTCAGCATTGCTTGTTTCTCAAGGCACACAGGTAAGTAAACACAGTCCAATGACTCTTCTAGGATTTATCTCTTTGGTGAGCTGAGTTCAATGTTTCTTTTCGCCATTATCCACAGCTTGGACTCTTCTTGAAAAAGATAGTGAAGGGAGACATTGGTTACATGTCAAAGGAGGAATTCGTTGAAGCCATTTCACAGTATCTAAGCCATAGAAAGAATTTGGTGTCTAGTGATTTCTCCAAGTTTTGTACCTGCAGAGGCCAAAAACAGTTTCTTGGGCACACACGAACCTCTAGTGAATCGTCTTATCTCTCAGAGACAACCGATCTTCACCAGAAAGAGCTTCACGAGTTGAGATTGCATTACAAGCTGACAAGACAAGAAGTTGTGCAAATGCAAGCAGATTGGAGGGAAGAAATAAGTCAGCTTGGTAAGAATATCATCACCCTTCATTTGGAGGGAAAATGACTTCTACTTAGAAGTTGTATGTGCGTGGTTTTGACTTGAATTTAATTCTCTCAGTGCTTCATATCAAGAGACTTGAAGTTGCATCCTCTACATACCACACTGTTCTGGAGGAAAACCGTGAGCTCTATAATCAAGTCCAGGATCTAAAAGGTGATCTTTTTTCAAGAGGGCTTCAAATCAACATATATAGGCGGTTTTAACTTTTATCGATCCCAATTTTTGAGCAGGCTCAATACGAGTGTACTGTCGGGTCAGGCCATTCCTATCGGGACAAACAAATGTACAATCCACAGTTGATTACATTGGAGAAAATGGAAATCTTATGATCGTTCATCCTCACAAACCAGGAAAGGATGCAAGAAAGGTGTTCAACTTTAACAAAGTGTTTGCTACAAGTTGCACACAAGGTATGATCTAATACTCACAACAATATCCAATTCAACTGGAAATGCTTGCTCTTTTTTTGCATTTTCATGGCCTTTACGGATTCAAAAACTCCAAATTTTGGTTTCACAGAGCAAATATATGATGACACGCAACCATTGATCAGGTCGGTACTAGATGGCTATAATGTTTGCATATTTGCATATGGGCAAACTGGATCAGGGAAGACTTATACGATGGTACGGTTTTTCTTTTGAGACTTCTGCTCAAGCATTACTTGCATCGAAAACTATGAACTGTGTCACAAATGTACTAAATAATATTTTGGTTTTGGTTTTGTGACAGAGTGGTCCTGATTTGAACACTGAAGAAACATGGGGTGTAAACTATCGTGCTCTTCGTGACCTATTTCAAATCACAAAGAAGAGGGCAGATGTTATTAAATATCAAGTTGGAGTTCAGATGATTGAAATATACAATGAGCAAGTAAGAGATCTACTGGTTTGCGATGGCTCCAATAGAAGATATCCTTTCAAAAGTCAGGTTTTATATGTTTCAGTTGTGTGGAAGCCATTCAACACTTATGATCAAGAATTCACTTTCCATAACTTCCTCAAACATTAGACATCCGTAATAACTCTCAACTGAATGGACTAAATGTACCTGATGCAAGCTTAATACGGGTATCAAGCACTCAGGATGTTCTCGATCTAATGAGAATTGGTCATAGAAATCGTGCAGTTGGTGCCACTGCTCTAAATGAAAGAAGCAGCCGTTCTCATAGGTTTAATTTTTGTGCCTCTAAAGAACTCCTAATTATTCCATGTATTTCATGGCTTTGAAGGAACTACTAATAATGTTTGTTGGGGTTATATGCAGTATTTTGACAGTTCATGTCTATGGAAAAGAGTTGATATCTGGTTCCGTACTTAAAGGCTGCCTGCATCTAGTAGATTTGGCTGGCAGTGAGCGTGTGGATAAATCTGAAGCTGTTGGTGAAAGGTTAAAAGAAGCTCAACACATCAATCGATCTCTCTCAGCCCTTGGAGATGTTATCTATGCTTTGGCACAGAAGAGTCAGCATGTTCCCTATAGAAACAGCAAGCTAACACAAGTTCTACAAGATTCTTTAGGTAATGATCTTGTTATCATCGAATTCCCACTTGTTAAGTCATATTCTAATCATCCTTAATTCTCTCTTTGTTCTTTAGGTGGGCACGCAAAAACATTAATGTTTGTCCATATAAATCCTGACGTCAATGCTATTGGGGAGACAATCAGCACTCTGAAGTTTGCAGAAAGAGTTGCTTCTATAGAATTGGGAGCAGCTAAAGCAAACAAAGAAACTGGTGAAATCCGGGATCTCAAAGAAGAGGTTAGTTAAAGTCTCTTGAATTCAATGGAACAGGTTCATTTCCGTATCCAACTTCGTCGAAATCTCATTCATTCCTTTTAATTTTTGTATATCCAGATATCAAGCTTGAAACATAATTTGGAGAAAAAGGAAGCTGAACTTGAACAGCTGAAAAGTGGAAGTTCTGGTAGAAACACAACAGAGGTACAAAGAGAAAGGGCTGTTTCTCCTTACTATTTGCCAAAGCATGGTACAAACTCCAACTTGAAATCTGAAATAGTTCAACGGGGAAATGCAAATGATGAAGCAATTCAGAGTCGAAGTTGCTCTTCTGGAAAACAAAGGAGGTCTAGATTTCCATTAGCTTTCACAGATAAGGAAGCTCTGCCAAAGCGTCCATTGGACCAGAGGTCAGGAAGTTTCACAAAGCAAAGGTCACCTTCTCCTCCTGTTAGGAGATCAATCTCGACAGACAGAGGAGCCATGATCAGGAACATGACCAAACCCGAGACAGTTGATATTAATACCTCAGTTGGAAGAGCCCCTTTTCCCGGTAGAGCTGGTGCTGTCAAATGTGTTGCACCAATGGAGAACAAGTCAAATGCAACCAGCATAGGGTTCCAGGAAGCAGTGAAGCAGGATAGTATAGCTAGTGCATTCTATAACTTCCAGAGGAATAATATCACTGCAAGGAAGCAATTCCCAGAACAAGAGGAAGAACAATTCAAACAGGCTCTTAACATAAGACAAGGTGGTATTCGAAAATCCAAGAACGAGGTTAAGGTTAAATCGAAACAGATTATTCCTGCAAGGCCGCCAAAATTTGAAATGGGTATGAATATGATGATGCTGCCTGAAATGGGTGCCGGCGATAAGCAAGACGAGCCACGCAGAAGTGACTTCTCAGTGCCTGAAAATGAGCTGATAATGGCTGGCTCCCCATTGCTTGGCTCTTTGAATGTAAAGAAGCTGCAAAGGAACTTGTCCAGGAACTCTCACAATCTTGAAGCAAGGTAATTCACTAGTTCTCTTATGACTTAAAGCATACATTAGAGTCTTGTGCTTTGAATTTTTTTATAACATATGATGTATGGAAACTTGCAGAGGATCTCGGAATGCAAAAGAAGGTGCGAATGCTGCAAGTTCACCAGCTGTAATGCCAGAGTTGAGGAGGAGTCGATCTACTCCTCGCGGAAAGTTCATTTTGTCTTGAGGGTCCATCAACAAAACACTGGTATATGTATGAATACGAATATGATACAAAGAGCAACATTTAAACAAAGTGCTATAGAAATATTATGTATAGGATACTGCTGTTGTTGAGTTGTGGTTTGGACTTTGAGTGAGACCAATTCATTTTGACATTGTAATACTTGTACTCTCACATGTCATGCATATGAAGAGTGGATTTAATGATGAAACATGAGAAGCGTTTCATGGTTTTGTTTGATGGTTTGGAGGAGTTGCAGTAAATAATTTAATTACAGCAAGCATGGAACACTATCAGTTAGGAGGAATTTAATCACAGCAAGCATCAAATCAATCATAGTCAAACAATAACTATATGGAGGTTCTCCTCCATCACCCCCTCAATCCATTTTTTGCTGACTTTTGCGCTAGTCACGGAAGGACTGTTTGGTCTTTCCAATAATTCAGATGGGCCTCTTAGCCCACTACCGAGTTCCAACCAGGCGGCACTGCGGTAGATCAAGAGTGTAATTACTCTCTGTGTTCTCACCGGAATTAATCATGGGAACCTCTCTTGCATAGTTTTTTTTTAAGAGAAACCTCTCTTGCATAGTTGTCGTTAAGTATAACCAAAACCGTGCACCTGACTTGATCTCTGAATGACATCCATGGCGTTTAAATTTTGGGTTTTTCTATTACAAGTTACAACATCAAAACTCAAGCGGTGGAGGATTAACTATATCAGTGTTAGTGTTAGTGTTAGTGTTAGTGTTATGTTTTATTATCAATGGTTATACCAATGAGTAATAAAGCCACACTTTCCAGGTCCATTAGGAAACTCGATCTTAGGTATGGGAAACCATCATCAGCTATTTATTTTATATTGTTTAGACCAAATTTTATTGTCTACTACATTTTTTTTAGTTCTCTACTCCGAATAAATATTTTCTGTGGAGAATCATCTAAACAACTAAATAATGGTTCAATTCCATTGTTAAAAATTGAATGTAAGCCTAAATAATTCATATAGCAAAATTATATACATCATACAATTTAATGTGTGATCATGTCACATGTGATTTAGAAAAATAGAGAGACGGTTTTATATCACAAGAAGTTGTGTTTGATTATGATTATCTCTTTCTGAAGCGCAAAATAAGTTTTCTAATGATATGAACATCGATAAAGTATCAATTGTTTATAATCTCTCTAACTATTGCACAATGCTTGATCTGAATTGCTAGTTGTACCTCGTGAAAACAAACTTCTTTCTTTTTATCTTTTGTGGAATTACAAAACTATTACTATCCATTTTACATTTTCATAAATTGATGCACCTAAGCCAGATTTGAAAAGAATTGATCAACCATTTGACTAAATTAGCAAGAAGAAAACATGCTCTTTATATAAGGCAAAAACGTATATTTGGGGAAAAAAACAACATTTCAACCGGTAATACCGTAATAGGGATGGCAATTTTGCCTATACCCATGAGTATTTTATTGTCCAACCCAATTAGGTTGCGTATGAAATCCAAATAGATGATAAATTAGTAGAGTGTGATAGGTTTATTATCATATTCATTTATTTGGGTTGAGTTGGATTTTTAATCCATGGATTTGGGTTTGTGCCCATACCCATTTTCAAATTACAAATTGGTACCTAACTTAATAGATCTTAAGATGTAACACCTAATTGTTTTTTTGCATGTAAATCCTCAAAATATCAACAAAAAATTACATTTTAACTTGCTCTTTATATAAGGCAAAATGTATATATCGGGGGAAATACAACATTTCAGCCGGTAATAGGGATGGCAATTATGCCCATACCCATGGGTATTTTATTGTCCAACCCAATTGCGGTGGGTATGAAATCCAAATATATGGTAAATTGGTAGATTTTGATGGATTTTTACCCATATAGCCATATCTATATATTTGGGTTGGGTTGGGTTTTTAATCCATGGATTTGGGTTTGTACCCGTACCATTTGCAAATTTCAGCTTGGTACCTAACATAATAGATCTTTAGATGTAGCACCTAAATTTAATTTTTTTGCATATAAGTCCCCAAACTATCAACGAAAAATTTACATTTTAGTACCTAAATTTTTTGTGTATTGTATTTTGGTATCTAATTTTTTTTAAGTTTTACAAATAGATCCAATAGATTCAATTTTTGTATGTGTAGTTAAAACATACTCAAGTAAATGAGTATCCATATCCATTTAATTATGGAAGCAATATCAATGCCCTACCCAAAATCATCTATAAACCCCAAATCCGTATATACTTCACCCATACCCTACCCATAATCAATGGGTCTATTTTGGTTGGACTAAAATTGCCCATGGGTGGGTAATTGTCATCCCTAACTAATCGGTAATCCATTGATTTGTGGTTTGTTTTTTATTTATATGTTATAAAATTATGTGTTTCTTGCTAAGATTGTTATCATTTCTATACATGTCTTATGAATAACTTACAAGCTAAGAGAAATAGATTGTTTAGGCCAATTACAAACAAATTGATCATCAAGTTTGAATCAAATATTGAGGCTCAAGCATGCGACGATATCCTAGCCATTCCAGCTTACAAGTTTAATTTCATCAAACAATATGAGATTGACAAGCAGTGCAACCAAATGACATTTCTTTCAGGCTTGAATTACTATTCTCAATTCCAAGTTCCAACTTACTTTAATTGATGCATTTAGAACCAAAACATTCACTTTTGAATTTTTCATTCCACATAAGTTGTTGGCCAACTTATTCCGTATTCGAGTTAATGGACATCTACTTGACTCACTGAAAAAGTTATCCATAAAGAGTTCCAACTAAAACTTCCCCAGTATGTAATTCTTTTAGATTTTCGTTTAAAATGGCATGCATTTCTTTAACTCTAATGACAAATCTAATGTATAATTTGGGTACATGGAATTTTATTTCAATGGAGCTCTCTTTTGTAGGATAGTTACCCGATTAAATATCTTCCTTGCAAATGCGAACGATCATCTCTCATCCTGGCCATTACATCATTTACATGTTGCTCCTTAGAATGGTAAGAAAACATCTAAATTACTTAAGTATTAATCCAAAAATTTGAAATCAAATTAATGACCATAATTAAATGATCATCAAATTTGCAAGTGAGAACAAATTTGCAAGTGAGAACACCTTCTCCTCAACTGGAGTGATCTTGCTGCCGGCGAATTCAAGTATTACATAAGTCATTAATTTTGGGCCAAATTGAAGTTCATCACAATTTAATCATTGCATTTGGTTTTGCGTTACAAGTTTGAATTTTAAAAAAGAAACAGAAATTAATAACCATTATTTTTTGTGAATAAAGAAACAGCGATGCACCAACTCCTCCAATAAAAAGCGCAGAATAAAAGCTATATTTAAGCCTAAACAAAATACTACATGAGCTAAATCAATTAAAAATGAAAGATGGAGAAGAGGTAAATATAGATTTAACAACCTCATTAACTATCAAATGCTAATACTTTCTGTAATATGCAAGGAAGTATGTCCGTCAAATACAAAGTTGTCAAAATTTAAGAGTGAGAAGTGCTATGTTGGGTGTGAAATATATGCACAAAAAATTGTACAATGACATTAAAGACAACAACAACTAGGTATGCAACCATTATTATTGTGTAATTGGATTTTATATAGTTCATTGATGAATATACCTGCCAAATAGTTGAATGTTTACTTTTTTACAACATAGTTTATATTATTTTTGTGTTAAATTCATAAATATATTATCGATTCAACAATAAAAACAATTTTATTAACAATTAGCAAAGCATGATACTGAAACATGAGGGAAGATTACGTAAATATTAAACATTGTGAATATAAAGAGACTGGTGGCTTAAATTAGAATTTAGAATATGGAGATTTGCATTTTAGATTAGGCTACGTTTGTCTTCTACTCACATTTGGTATGCACAGGGACACAAAATGAGACGATTAGTTGATTGGCATGGGCTTCCCTCTTTATTTTCATTTTGAATCAATAAGCTTCTGTGATGGTTTGCCTATTTATATTTTAGAGGGATGATCGTTCGGATCCTTTGGATATTGTTACGAAAAAATATGGTATTTCCACCTATCTTACCTTACAAGACTATTTTCCTATTATTAATTGAAATAATTTAAATTGTTTGCCTATACCAACTAAAAACTTATGTACTTCAACAATTTTATTATTGTTTATGTCATTACCATTATTACTAATTCAGATCCACCTTCGAGTTGTGGACAAAATAACAGATGTTGATTTTGTTGTTATGGGTGGAGTGAGAGCTTGATTTTTTGGAATGCTTGCTGAAAGGCTATCCAAGACAAAGATAGAATTAAAGGACCGGCACCTGCTCCTTGAAATCAAGGGAATTATGTTGATTTTCGATATCAAACTCTCATATTACAACATCGCTACCAACAAGTGAGTGCCCAATTGTCAGGATAGGGAAGGATGAGGAAGAGCATAACACAGACAATCTTCATGTTTTGATCGAGGTAAATTCTAATTGCATCAAAATGATGATCAATATTACAAATTTGTGCTATTCTCTATTGGATTTGTATTTTTATACCATGCACAAGTCATACTTGGTTATATTCTTTAATCTGATTGATATATTGCAACTGTCGGATGAAGGGAGCCGAGCTATTAATTTACAGAATTGGCCTAAATGAATTAAGTTGAAACAAATCAGGCCTCAGTTAAAAGGTGGAGAATACCCTTCTATTTCTTTCACTGCCTTTAGTATTTTCAATCTTGGTATTCAGTGTGGAACTTTGCTACCTTTCCCACTAACGTGTAATCAATAGTATCCGACTATAATTTTACCTCCAATATATATTAACCATTTATGATTCGATGAAAGCACGTCATATGTTGTATTTTTGAATGCCAATGATTTAAATTCACAATGCTTATGTATGAGAACAAAAAAGACACTGGCAATGGTAGAGGTACCAGATCCGGTGCTAGAGATGATGATGATGATATTGAGAAGAAAAAATAAATTATTAAATGTTCGTAAGGAAGATATAAATATTATTGATGGGGAGGCAGAACAAATCATGTATATTATTGTTGGGTATATGACTCAGATCTCGCTGGACCAAAGAGACACCTCAAACGACGTTGCAGCAGGGACTAGGTGCGCCAGCACTGACGGAGCGCGCCAGTGCCAGCGCGACCTTGAACATAGCCCGCGCCCGAACACCAAACGGCGACGTTCGGGTCAGGCGTCGACCAGACCAGGAAATCATAGAAACGGCGACGTGTTCGCCCGAGGAGTGGTCACCATCAGTCCTAGGTATAGTTATGGGCTAAACGTCCTTTCCTAGGTAGAGTTACGGCCTAAGTCCCTGTCATGTTAGTGGTCATGTCACCATGAAACCCACCCACCACCATGTAGCCTATAAATATGGCATTTACTCCGGTGGGTGGGGGATCACATTTTGGACATTCTATCTCCTCAATCTTCAACTTCTCTCTCTAGAAATACTAATTCTCTCAATCCCACTCGTGGAGACCTTTGTTCTTCTTCATATTGTTGGTTCTCATTGTTTATTCCCCTTGACCCACTTTCATTCCCGAACCTCACTCCTACACTCAGTCGGGTTCAAACAATTATTCATAATTTGGATGAGGTAATTCTACTTCAATGGAAAAGATTATATGTATTTGTAAATATTTTACCATTAAGATTTATTGCTCAATGAAATGCATAAAGAAAAAGAAGAGATTTTCGAAATGCAAAAGAAAGAAGGTAAAAATAATTGATAATGCAGACAAATGTGTTATTATTGGAGGTGAAGACATTATTATTGGTGGAGATGATGTTGTTCATAGAGGAGGAAATGCAAACAAGTCAAAAAGAAAACATGTAGTAATCTTTAACGGTGAGGAATGATTAGAAATTGTCTGTAGGAGTTGTTCCCTTACAAGGGGGTTGTCTTTCATTTTCGTAAAAAGTTTTTAGTCAATGATACACTAAAATGTCGAAAAACAGTATGATATTGATATTTTTTAATTATCGAACTATTTTAATAATTTTGATTCTCTTATTCTACCAATGAATTCAGATGTTTAGAGTATTTGAATAATTTATACTTTCTTATATATACTAACAAAAAATGCGTACCTCGGATACAATTGTCATTGTTATTTACGTGATTGGCTATTGAATCCGGCCAACTGGCCGGGTACATGACTAGTTGAACTTTATGAAGGTAAAGTTATCTCCGGTTCGCAGACATGAAACCCATGACGGCCAATTAAATTATTGAAATTTGTCATATACCCAAAATTAGCAGAGCTAATGTCAAATTTGTGGAGATTATTGTTCACAAGACTAGAGCCAAGATTAGCTTTTTTCCCTTCTTTTTCAAATTGGTTTCTTGGTCAGTTGGATCCTTTTTGGGTTTTGCTTTTGATTATTGTCAACTCTTGTTGTTTTGTTCATCCTTTAGTTTTAAGATTGTCTTTTTGCCTTCCTCCCTGTTTCTCTAGGTATAGAATTATGAATTGGTAGACTCCTCGCTTGAGGCAAAACATTCTCAATGCAAACCTTAACCTCTTTGGAATAATTATTGGAGGATCATGTTCTACAAATTGGGCTATGTTTGATCATTAATTAGTCTCCAAGAAAGTCTCATTCCAAAGGTAAAGACACGACAAATCAATTTGTTCGAGAGAAGATAAACGGGGAAGTTAAGCATTCATTTATGCATATTTTTGTGTTCTTTCAGGTTCGATTTTGATCAACATGGATGTTGATCTTTCTGAAAACAGAAAAAAGTTGTTGCCCGACCACCTCATCTTACAACAAGACAAGTAGAAGGTTGATTGTTGAGTAAGATCAGCAGCAAAATGGCTAATCTTATTCCGAGATTAGAATCGATACAAAATGCGCAGAACTCAAAGTTATCCACAAATGCAGAGGATGACCAATCAACAAACAAGGCTCCCCAGAGCTCTGTCACCTTCATCTATGAAGCCAAAATAGCCGATTTGATCCGAAACGTGACGGTGACGTGGAGCAAGAATGTGGGGAACTATTCCCTGGTCATAAGCGTCGAAAACCCGAGCAGCGAGAACCCCTACACCTTCAAGCTGGACATAAAAGCTTGGCAATTCTGGGGCAAAAAAGGTCTGAAATCATTCGACGTGGACACAAAACGAGTGGACGTGTACTGGGACTTGAGGCAGGCGAAATTCTCGAGCAGCCCCGTGCCGTCGTCAGACTATTACGTGGCTGTGGTGGACGGAGATGAGGTGAGTGTGGTGTTGGGAGACATGAAGACGGATGCGTACAAGAGAACCAAGAAGCATCCTCCTGCCGACGAGCCCGTCCTGCTGTGCAAGAAAGAAAACGTGCATGGCAAGAAACTCTTCTGCACCAAAACCATGTGGCAGCACAACGAGAAGGAGCATGATCTCACCATTGAGACGTCGCTGTCCGGCCTGGGTGACCCGGAAATGTGGATTAGCATAGACGGCTTCGAAGTGGTTCACATCATGAATCTGCAGTGGAGATTTCGAGGGAACGAGAACTTGACTGTGAACGACGTTCCCGTCCAAATATTTTGGGACGTCCATGATTGGTTGTTCAATGGGACCGGGACGGGGCAAGGGCTGTTTGTTTTCAGTCCCGGGAATAAGCCATCCAAAGCCGATGATAATAACTCATCACCAGATCAGAGGCAATCGCCTGCAGAGTTTTTCCATGTTATTTATGCTTGGAAATTTGAGTGAGGGTTTCCTTCCTTCCATAAGCTTTGTATATTATCATATGCTAGTGTCCGTCTTCTTCTTCGTCATTTATTGATGCATACTCTTGATGTATATACCAGAAGTCCAATCTCTTTACTGGGAATATATAGTTCAGAGTTCCAAGATTTATGAAGCTAATACATGCTTTATGGAGCTAGCTAGCTGATTTTGAATGGTGTAATGGAAGTTGTGTAGAAGCAATTAAAGGGAAACTGACCATTTATTCATGATTGAAACAAGAGTTTAAATACACAGACTCAAACCCTTGCAACTGGTACCTGCAACCTCCAATAAGCTGCCTATATTCAGAGACATCTACTGAAATTCAATCTCCTCCCTTTGACAGCCTGGTACCTGCAACCATTGGGTTGTGCACAAAATTGCATTCACTCAACTTGAACTTCTCGAGCAACTCCTTAATGTACTTCTTCTGGTTGATGAATATGCCTGATTCAGTTTGTGAAACTTCCACCCCCAGAAAATATTTCATTCTCCCAAGGTCTGTCATCTCAAATTCTGACTCCATGGATGCCTTAAACTCTGCAAGCATGGCAGAGCTACTTCCAGCATACATCAAGTCATCAACATATAGGCTCACAAGTAAGAAATCACCTCCAGACTTCTTAATGAACAGGGTAGTTTCATATTCACATCTCTCAAAACCTGTCTGCAGAAAATGAGATTCAATTCTAGCATACCAGGCTCTTGGGGCCTGTTTCAAACCATATAGTGCCTTTTTCAGTTTGTAGACCTTGCTTTCCTCCCCAGCAACCTCAAACCCTTTAGGTTGCTCACATACACATCTTCAATCAATTCACCATGCAAAAAGGCACTTTTAACATCAAGTTAGAAAACTGTCAGACCTTGAGATGTAGCTAAAGCCAGAAAAGTTCTAATGGTATCCCACCTAGCCACTGGAGCAAGTACTTCAGTATAATCGATTCCATACCTTTGTGCATAGCCTTTTACCACTAACCTTGCTTTAAATTTGTCCACAGACCCATCTTCCTTAAGTTTTGTCCTGAAAATCCACTTGACTCCTATTGGAGTGACTCCTGCAGGTCTGTCTACCAGCTCCCAAGTATGATTTCGTATAATTGCATCAGTCTCCTTCTTCATAGATTCTCTCCATTTTTCTTCTAAGACTGCATCTTCAAAATTTTGGGGATCATCAGAAACAGCTACATTAAGCCAACGGTCAGTATCCACGAAATGACATGTGCAATCATAGTCTTTAAGGTGACTTGGGAACATCCTTTTTCGTTTTCCTAGAGTTTCTGCTCGAGGATCTTCATATTCATCAGTTTGTTCTTCAGAAGAGGAATCTGAACTGTGAGGTGCAAGTGGAGTAGCAGCAGGTGGTGTTGGAGCAGTAGTAGTATCTGGGGTGTGCTCTTCATCATCTGAAGAGGACTGCTCATTTCCTGATCCTTGATTTTTAGTATCAGTGAACTCTTCTTACTCATCAGAGTCACACCAAGGGTCTCCACTACCTTCCCAGAAAATCTGAGTGAGGACAGGTTGTATATCAGACTTCCAGCTCCATCCCTTTTCTTCATCAAAGACTACATCCCTACTGATCATTACCTTTTTGGTGGTAGGATTGTAGAGTTTGTAGGCCTTTGATTCCTTGGAAATCCCAATAAAATGACATTTAACACTCTTGTCATCAAGTTTCTTTCTCTGCAAGTCATGAACATGTGCATATGCTCCACATCCGAATACTCTGAAGTGATCAACTGATGGAGTCTTACCAGTCCAGATCTCCTGTGGTTGGACTCCTGTTGAGGACATGTGCATTCCATTCAACAGCTTCTGGCCAGAAGTTTGAGGGAACTTTGGTGTCCTTCAGGGAACAGCGAACCATGTTCATGATGGCACGATTCTTTCTTTCAGCAACCCCGTTTTATTGGGGGTGTCAAAGCTGTTGTGAGTTGCCTGTTGATCCCTGCTTCATCACATAGTTGTTTGAACTCATTCAACATAAACTCCCCTCCCCTGTCAGTTCTAAGACAGACTATTGTTTTACCTGTTTCATTCTCGAGTTGTGCTTGGAACTTGGTAAACCATGTAAGTGCTTCAGACTTGACAGCTAGAAAGAACACCCAAAATTTTCTATTGTAGTCATCGATGATGTTGAGAATGTATCTCTTTCCACCATTTGAAACTGGGGTAATGGGGCCATAGAGATCAGCATGTAGAAGTTGGAGAGGCTGGCTTGCTCTCTGGGTACTTTTCTTTGGGAAATTTGCTCTGTGCTGCTTCCTTAGCATACATGTTTCACATACTCCAAGTTCTCCAGTTAGTCTAGGTAGACCACTAACCAGTTCTTGCTTCTGCAACCTTAACAGTCCTCGAGTGTTAATATGCCCAAACCGCCTGTGCCATAACAACAGTGGAGCAGATTAGCCAGAATGAACCTGCAAACACTGGAAGTTTCTCAGCATGGCTTCACTTGGATGATTGACCTGCAGAATGAACATTCTGTTTGCCTTCATGGCTGTCTGCAGAAGAAGTGTTCCTTGCTCTCTAAATATCTTGCAGGTGCCATTTTTGATAGAAAATTCCAGGTTCTTCTCTTGCAATTGTCCTATGCTGAGAAGATTTGTCTTGAGGCTTGGTACATAATACACATTCTGAATCATCAGGGTAACTTGATCAACCATCATCTTGATGGTTCCTTTTCCTTCCACATCCAGCCTGCTACCATTTCCCAGTCTGACATCTCCTTTAAAACTCGAATTGAGCTTGATGAATCATGACTTGTCTCCAGTCATGTGATTGCTACACCCTGAATCCAAGAACCACCATGTCTCCATCTTCTTATGTTGTTCAGCTTTGCCATCATTGGTGTATGCCATGAGCAGAACATCATCCCTGAATCCCTGACCGGAGGACTCAATGTAGTGTGCTCCTGTATTCCACTCAGGGCATTCACGAATATAATGCCCCATCTTGTGGCATTTAAAGCACTCCACCCAGCTCTTCCTCGCCCTCTGCCTCGTCGTCCACCTTGGTATCCACCTCGACCATACCCTCTGCCTCGTCCTCCTCCAAAAACTTGAAGGGCTTGTTCCTCTCCAGATGAGTTCCTTGTGAACTTTTGCTCATGAACTAGCTGTGAGCTTTGAAAAACATCAACTGAAAACTCCCCAATATCCTTAGATTCTTCAATTGAGCATACAATATAATTAGACCTCTCGGTAAAAGTTCTTAGTACCTTTTCCACAATCTTCGTATCAGTCATATCTTCTCCACAATTCCTCATAGAATTGGCAATCACCATGACTCTTCCAAAGTAGTCTGTAACACACTCTCATTCCTTCATTTGTAGCAGCTCGAAATCCCTTCGAAGTTCCTGCAGATTGGACTTCTGAACCCTCCCAGTGCCTTGATAACGAGTCTTCATAGCATCCCAAAGTTGCTTAGCAGTACCCTTTTGTGTGATCGTCTTGAGAATGCTCTTGTCGATTGAGCAGAACAGGTAATTTTTGGCGTTCAGATCTTTGAGCCGGTTTGCCTCTAGGGTTTTGGATTGATTAGCAGTCTGCTCTTCCCCAGCGGCAGGCTCATTGAATCCCGGATTGACCACACTCCAGATTTCCTTCGATCGAAGCAGATTCTCTATCACCAAGCTCCAGTGATCGTAATCACCGTCGAATTTGAGAATGCCCACCTGGGCAAAGCTTTGATCATTCATAATCTGTTCCTTACAAATCTCTCACCCGAAAAAAATAAACAAAGCAACCTCACTGAACCTCTCGTGTTTCCCTAACCCCAGATCAAAATCAATTTCGCACACCTCACTTGCTCTTGGTTACAACCTGCGATTGCTCTGATACCACTATGTAGAAGCAATTAAAGGCAAACTGGCCATTTATTCGTGATTGAAACAAGAGTTTAAATACACAGACTCAAACCCTTGCAACTGAACTCTCCTAACTACCGGGACCAATGAATCCTAACAACTATCCATCACTGCAACTACTGATTTCCAGCTAACAGACTTAACTGACAAACATAAGACTCGGACTGGACTTAACAGACACAAAACAGTATTAAGGGACTAAACTGGAAATTAACTTCAACGGCTAGTAACGGCTACTTTGGACAACTTCAGCCTTGCTTCAACAAGTTGTACCAGAGCTGACAGATCAACCTTCCTTGGAAGAGGGAAGATATATTTGTTTCCAGGAAATGCCTCGCGAGATAAGTCTACACGCACCTTGAAGCTGCACTGCTCCTGAACCAATATTTTTTATACTAGCAACTTTCCTGTTCATCTGGATGTTCTCCTAGCTTCTCAAGTCCATGGATGAAGTGACCATAATTAACCTGCAGATCACAGTGTAGAGAATCAGACATCCCTCATTATCATACTTGTGTTGACAATCCATCATCCACTTCACATTTCTGAATCAAATTTCTTCCTTAAGGTGGCATTTACAAAGCCATGCATATGTATCTACTTAGTCAAGTGATACATATCAATGCAGAAAAGAAGAGCAAAGAGAATGTTCAATCCAATAGAATGCGAACTGACATAAGTCTTATTGACTGATGCAAATAGCTTAAATACATTGCCAAGTACGACTCCCAATCTCCCACTTCTAACCACTAATCCATATCCCTGAAAAAAGGCAGTACTACTTTGACTACTGCTCCTAACTAATTTCTACTTAGATGCTAAGTCATCTAATGACTTTAACCCCAAAACGACTACAAACTAAACACTCAATAACAAATTAAATAAGCAGCAACTTAAATGACTCACGTGTACAACCCATGTGGCTAATTATTCCAACATATCCTCTCCTGAACTGAAGCCTACCAAGCAGTCTTCAGTTCATTCCACAGCAGAGCAGCAACTGCTTCTTTATTGCACTTTTAGTTTCCTCATTCACAGGTTATAACGTTGCAAACCATCAAATTTGTTGTATCAACTCACATCAGAAGAGAACTTGAACAAGCAAAGCCTTTCTTCCCATCTTTTCTGTCAATTAGCTAGTGATGAACTGCTTCTCCAAGCATTCGAATCATCTATCAAGCCAAAAACCATATAACCACACTACAAAGAATAGCTGAATCACCACCGGTTCATATCACACAAATCACATATACATATATGTGAAATACTCAAGTTCCCAACTAATGGGTAAGAAAGCCACAAGGACTAGCAATCACAATGCCACCAATCACATTACTTCAAGGACTTTAATGATGTTGCTGGGTGTCAGTAGTGCTTCGTTGGTTCCAGAGGGATCGCCTGCAACGGCTTCTGCACACCTTTCAAGATCTAATAGATTGGTGGTTGAATGGAGATAAAAAAGGAGAACCCCCATTGTCATTGTAATCGAAAAATTAGCAACCAACTTCTACATAAAGGGACATTGGGATACAGAGAGCGAAGAATGAAACCAAAAAGTCCATTACGTTGTTGCAAAAAGCTTTACTCCACATCCAATATCAAGAGCATTTCGGTCTTATAGCAATCATTCTTCAACTCCGACAGAAGCCGCCTGATGTCCTCCGGATAACCCTTTCACGCCTTCGGCCGAGAAGGAGAAATCTGCTGGCATATTGAGACTTGAGAGGGAGGTAGACGTACTGACTGGAAACATTGGGCTTCCGTTTGACAAAGGCCTAGAAAGCTTCTTCACTCATTAACAGAAGGCCCAAAGATATTATAAAACCGGCAACGTTTCGGGAGAGAGGGCAGGTCAACGGCCGGCAAAAACTAGAAACCCGAACCAAATAGAGAAACGGGAACGAGCGAAACGTGAAACGGTCGAGAAAGGTTTCTTCGCTATTTAACCCAGGCCCAAAGGAACGAAAAATCGGTCAGCGTTTTGGAAGGGGAGGTAGGCGCACGGCCTGGGAAAACTGGGCTCTTGTAGATGAAGGGTCCAAATTACTTTTTTCTCTACATATCCGACGGCCCAAAAGAACGAAAAATCCGACAACATTTTGGAAGGGGAGGTAAGCACGCAAAGCGAAAACACTGGACTCCCGTTAAACAAAGGGACCAAATAGCTTCTTACTTTACTTATCTGAAGGCCCAAAAGAACTGAAAGCTACACCGTTTCGGCAGCGAGGTAGTCGTACGCCCGGGGAAAACAGAGAACCACTGCAGAACGAAAAAACGGGTACCAGAAACAACCTAAACGCGAAACGTTTCGCATACTAGAAACCAAAAACGAAACGCGATAAATTACCGAAAAAGAGAAATTGATGAGATATCGTGATATAACAAGATATCGCGATATTTGTGCGATTTATTGGCTTTTGTACTATATATTTACCTGATATGAACTGGCGACTAGAATACCCGGGAAAATTGGGGGGAAAATGAAAAAATCCTGAACCTTGAAGTTGCAGGCACCACTACACTTCTCCAGAGTCCAGACATACATGGCTGAAGTAGAGAGCATGTCAAACAGTTGTACCACCTTCGCTCTGATATTTTCCATCCTAGGTTCCTTCACCGCGAGCAAATCGATCACCCAAATTGCAATGCGACTCGGAGAAGTAGGAGAAAGTATATTCTTAGATGTCTAAGCTAATTCAATGAAACGCTCATACATACAGATTGCAGAAGAATTCGGCTTAATCTTACCTTGTACCAAAGCACGCAGCAGTAGGAGAAAGTTCGCCGGGATAAGCCGCGGTAGAAGGAGAAGCTAGCGGCGGCGAGTCATGATAAAGTACAGAGTCAAACGACGCCGCTGTAGCTTATGAAAGTTCGTTTTGTCTCGTATTAATTGTTTTTCCCCCCTTCTTTTCAATGAAGGGAAGAAGAAGCGCCATCCAATCCCCCACCAAAATTAATGCGGGAACGATTTCCTTAGGGTTTCTCTAAACCTCGTCCACGTCCCCAACAATGGTTACCGCAGTGGGAAATTCCGCACTCGGAATGTCTCTGGCCATTCGGTTTCGCTTCGTCTCTTACTTGATTCCGCAGTAAGCTGCCTTCCTTCGTTCTGCTCTCTTTACTTCATCCTGAGCACTCATCTTGCTTAGGTTTTCGCTGGTTGTAATATGAATTGAATTGAAATTCTCCTTGTAAGTTGTAGAGCTTATGGTCTTTGCTTTCCAGGTCAGCGGTCAAGAATGAGTTGGGAGTTTCTTGTCAGAAGGTCCGGTGTTATACAGGTGGCTCTTCAGGTCCTGTTAGATACATTCCCAAGAAGAAATCCTCCCCCAAGAGAAATGAAGAGGTGAAGAAGAATGATGATTCGAAGAATGCATTTGACGGGAAGTTCGAAGGTGTGGAGAGTAACTTTTACTCGGATGAGAAGAATCGTAGCCGAAAGCAAACGCAGAGAAGATTGCCCACTGCACATCAATGCAAGGTAAATAATAGACCGCATTCTGCTTACTCGTGGCTCTTGCTGCAAGCATTAGTTAAAATACCATTTCTAACTACTTTAACTGATGTTCGTGTCATGCACCTCAACCTTTGTGTTTTTCTCTCTTTCAATGAAAAGGTCGATCGCAGTTCAGCATTCATGGACCATGAACCAATGGAAGAGCATGTGGCTTTCGGTGTGGGAAGACAAACAGAAATAAGTGGTTTTGCACAAGACAATCAACTGGTGCAAAATGCAAACAAATTGGCGATTGGCTTGCTTGCTAAAAGGTCACCCTCAATTCCCCATCACCCAGTTGCTTGTTCTGTTACTTACTTGTGCTGGATTTTTTTTTTTTTTTGGTTGAACTTGTGCTGGAATTTGCATTGAAAGCTGAGAGTATTTCCAGTGCTGTAATGCCTTTCGAGCTACAAAATCTCATGTTTCACCAGAACTTAGTGTATGTATCATCACAAATTCAGTTATTTTCCTGCAGATCACTGACAGCATTGGAACTGAAAAAGAAGCTGGAAGCAAAAAAAATTCCTGCGGTTATTGTCAATCCAGTGGTAGCAAGTCTCCAGCAGAGGTGCGTAATTTCGTATAGCTTTTCTATGCTTTCTTTTCTGAACCACATTCTATTTTGAAACCCATCATTTTGTTATTATTGAAATACTAGTTTTCTTATTAATCTTTTGTGCATAATCTAAAGTGTAATCTAGTGTTAGTATTTTTTTTTTCCTTCCTTTGTAGAGGATATGTCAATGATGGCTTGTATGCGGAATCATTTGCACGCTCTAGATGGTCTTCCTTAAGTTGGGGACCCATGCGGATTAAGCAAGTAAGCTTTTCTGTACCTCGGAGTCATGCTTTTCATAATTGGATGATTTTGGGTACTTGGCCTCCATCTGCAATCTCTCTATGTGTTTATGTTCTTAGGTAATGGGCTTGATTTTGATCATATTGAGAAATATGGCCCACTTCTTTCCATCTTTCTCTTTGTGGAAGTATGCTATTCTAAATTGAGGAGTTCTAAAACATGTTAGATGATTTGATAGCTTGATCACAGTGAAATTTTCATGATGAAAATAATTGGGGTTTGAACTTAGTCATAACATCCTGATATGTCAACTAATATTTTCCACTGGTATATCTGTGATGTCTGATTAGAGCAGCACTGGTATATCTGTGATGTCTGATTAGAGCAGCATCAGCAAAATGATAGACCATATTCTTTTGCAAATAGATAGGCCATTCATAGTGACTGCTGACCAAGACTCCAGGTGGAGAGGTGGGAAGCCAGGAGTAAGTCACTGCACTAATCATTCTTTCCTAGAACTGCTCTAGCTGTTCAGTTTCTACGATCTGCCATAGACAACTCATCATATGAGCTAAAATTTGGTGCCGGTTTTATTAGTATCACATTAACACAATTTTAGGAATAGAAGAGTTTGCTGAAGGTAGAACATTACAAGAAATTGCATAGATCCAATGGTATCTTGATTTTGTGGTGGCTGGTTGAAGAACAAGAAAGATGTGGATATTAATTTCATTGAACTAAGTGGCTCTTTGGTAGTTGGTTGGCTGGTTGATATTTGTAGACCCAAAAGTTATAGCGAGCTACAATGACTAAATCTGCTTTGGCACAACTGTTGCAGGCATTGCTAAAGAAGGGAGTGAGTGAAGCTGATGCACAGAAAGCCTTAAAAACTGTTTTCCAGGATACTGAACCTGAATTTAAGGATTCAAGAGTCGATATGTCGAAGCCTTCTCTCGATCACCTATTTGCTCAAGCTTTAAAGCAATGGATGCGAAGCCAGGATGCCCCAATACAGACACGCAAATCGAGGATCATTCGGTGGCTCCAGTACCGTGGTTTTGACTGGGGCGTGATTTCCCATCTGCTGGCAAAGTTAGAATCTAAGAAACAACCTCCATAGACAACAACAAACAAACAGATCAAAGGTGGCATCTACGTTGAAGGCCATAGATATAGAGGATGTCGGTCATGTAGTCCCTACTCAAGATAATGGTCCAAAGCAAAAATCCATGTATGTATTGCCTGATGTGGATAGGGTCTGGCTGTCTCTCTCCGTTCGTAGAAAGGCAGCATTTATGGCTAAAAGGTTGCCCACTTTTATCCCTCCAACTGTTTCAAGTTTGGGCTTGCATCAGCTCGTACGTAGTGCCATCTAATCCATCCGTGTAATGCAGGAATGAAGTCAAAGCGTTTGGAACATGTGGGCGCAGCAAGAGAAGCAAGTGGGATTGGTGGGTTCTGTGATACAAGTGAAGTAAGTGTTTTTGTATGGCTTTTACTGACAATGGGATGGGTGCAAATGCAATGCATCATATCGAAGTGCAAATAACATATCAGCCGTTGGGTGTTGGTTTGCCTGTCAGTTTCTTTTGTTTGTTTGATTTGTGGTGGGGAGCAGCAGCAGCAGCAGCAAAAATTCGTACTGCTGCACTTTCTTTCTTTTGAGCTGCCTCATACCAGCAGTTGTAGAGTGTAGAGTCTAGACTCCCCACTTGGGCCTTCGATCAAATGAAAACCATTTGAGGGCTGAGGTGACTTGCTGGATTGGAAAGGAAATTGCTAATTGGAAGGGATTTTGCATCTCCTTTTTCATCTTTTGGGGGATTTTGTTATGGTGTTGGATGGTGAGATTGACAAGACGACGTTTTTTGTCCTTTTGTTTTTGGCGTTTTCTCTTGGGGGAGGAAAGTTAGTGTGAGCAACTGAGCATGGTCCTGGGCTTGCACGTGGTTTTTGTTTTGGAACTAACAAGGCATTTACTTTTTTTTTTTTTTTTTTTTTATGGGTTTGCATGTATTTGAAATGATATTATTCTCAGTCATCTGATTCAAGAATTACATGCATCCTGGAAGTTACATGTTTCAAAATCTCAGTTTCCTTGGGAATGATAATGGGATGGTGCGAGGGCAAGTACCTCTAGCCATACTCCCAAGTGATTTGCAAAACTTTTGACAACAATGGGTGATCCGTATTCAATATTTTTGTTAATGTTTTTGCTTTCTGGTTGGTTTCTTTTACTTCTGGGCGTCTGGCTGGAAAGTCCTCCTCAGGACAGCACATGGACATGTGCTGTGCAGAACGTGGGACCATGTGATCCGAATTGTGGTCACCGCTGGAAAACTCGACCCAATCTCATAAAACATACGCTGTTGTTCCATTCTCTGGCTGTGCTCTGTTTTTCCTTGGTTTTTAATTTCACCCATGTAGATTTCTATAACACTAAGCAAGCTTCTAGTCTACAAGTACAACAGGGAAGCCTGTTGGTGAAGTCTCACAAGCTACCAAGTCTTGGGAATTGGAACCAATCATTGGTCCAGTGAGTCGAGTCTCTTCTACTTCTGCTAACCCTCTTCCTCGCCAGCACACACATTCCATCCTTGCCATTTGCCATCTGTGATTCTGCTCATTGCTTACAACCAAAGGGATCCAAACTTCAAAGGAGATGTTGGACTAATCCACGTGTAATTCCCATTTCCATACAAACAACTACATTTTACATTCTTCTTAATCTCTCCACACTTACCAAATTAATTAGCTTTATTACAACCCCTACGTGTCTACTTAGAATCCTAAGTACAAAGGTCACATGTACCTTTTCTCTAGACGGAATCGTCAGAGAAAGCAAAAGAGCAATTAGAGGAAGTCTGCGAGCCTACAATATTCCTACGCGGCGGTTGCACCGCTGTTGGCGACGATCGTGTTGTCGCATTTGTCCTTGATGAATGACTGCCCTTTAGCTCGGACGGTCTTGCTTCGACGTTGTGAATCTCTTTTAGCATGGCCACCACATCTTTCATTGTGGGGCGATCGTCTGGCCGAGTACTGATGCACAGAAACGACACAGCTAGTGTCTGTAGCATCTCGTGCATCGTCGGGTCTGATCTCCCCCTTAGTTTGGGATCGAGAATCTCAGCAGGGTTCTTCTTGTTCACTAGGTGCTCCTTTGCCCATTCCACTAGATGTGCACCTCCGGGCAATGTTGGGTCCAATGGGTGTCTACCCGTTAGCACCTCTAGAACTACCACTCCAAAACTGTACACGTCGCTTTTCTCCGTGATCTTTCGTGTCGTTGCATGCTCTATAGACAAACAAGAAGGGGGGGAAAGTTGCAGCAACACCAAATCAATCTTACGAACATATAATTTTGAACTCGATCGTCATAATTTGAACCCGAAAAAAGTACCTGGAGCCATATATCCATATGAACCGGCGAGAACCGGCCTCGGACTAGACTTTGACTTGGAGCAAACACCGGCATCTTCCCCTCCCTCGGCCAGAACCCTGGCTAGCCCGAAATCGGCCAAGTAAGCTTCATAGTCGTTACCCAGCAAAACATTCATCGCCTTGACATCTCCATGGAGTATCGCCGGGACACAGTCATGGTGCAAGTAAGCAAGCGCCTGAGCAACACCGACCACCACATCGTACCTCATCTCCCACTCCATCCCGACGAATTTGGCTGTAGCTCCCCCGGCGCCATGCAGGAGTGAACTCAAGCTCCCATTCGGAAGGTAATCGTAGAACAACAGCTTCAGATTTCGATTCGATCCAAAACCCAGCAATCGAACGATGTTTCTATGCCGAATCGAACCCAGCGTCTTTATTTCGGAGCTGAAAGCTCCCGATTCGTCGCCCGACCACATCTTCTTTACCGCCATGGTTTCCCCTTTCGGAGTAATCACTCTGTATACGACCCCTGAACTCCCGTTTCCGATCACGTTCGCAGAGTGCAGATTCTTGACTACGTCCTCGATTGAGAATTCCGCCTTCTGGTACAGAGTCATTTCCCAAGCACCGTCTCCTTCCTTCATCATCTCATCGCTGGAAGAATTCATCCGGCCCCGGACTATAGCGTAAACTGCGAGAAGAATGAGGACGGCGCTTGCACTGAGAAGAACAGACGTCAGCAGCTTCATCGCCGAACCACGGCGATGGTCTTCAGCCGGGGCTGCCAATCCGCTGCCGGCGATGTATAGTCCTTTGTTTGAAGCCAAATCGTTAACAGGGAGCTTCCGGAAGAACGGGGTGTTTGGGAGTTCGCCGGAAAATTCATTGAACGAGATGTTCAGGGAAACGAGATTTTGAAACTCTGCTAAAACTTTGAGGTTTCCTCTCAGAGTGTTGTGGGAGAGGTCGAGGATTGCTAGCTTGTCCAGTCCCGAGAACTCCGACGGGATCTCACCGGAGAATTGGTTGCAGCTGAGGTTGAGCGAGATTTCCAGCGCGGGGATTTGGCCGATTTCCTTGGGGATTTCGCCTGTGAGCATGTTGTCACCGAGGTGCAGCAGCTGTAGCTTGCTGCAGGAAAGAATCGCCGGCGGGATCTTCCCGGAGATCTGATTCTTCCCCAGATTGAGCTTCGTCAACTCCGTCAACTCCCCGATTCCGCGAGGCAAAACCCCGGTAAGCCGATTTTCGGAGAAGTCGACGAATTGCAAGCTTTTGGGAAGAGTCTCCGGAACAGGGCCGGTGATCCCATTGGAATGGATGTCGAGAAATTCGAGACTTTCACACCCGGAGATTGCCGGCGGTATTGCTCCGACGAGACGGTTCCCGCTAAGGTCGAGGAAATTCAAGCTCTTCAAGTTTCCAATCTCCGAAGGAATAGTTCCGCCCAATCTGTTCCCATTCAGCCTCAGCCGGTACAGGCTGGAACAATTCCCGATATCCGGCGCAATAAAGCCGGAGAACTCATTCCCAAGAAGGAGAAGCTTGGTCAGATTCCGAAGCCCAAAAATCCGGTTGGGAATCGACCCGAAAAGACTATTGTACGAAAGATCAAGTGCCTGGAGATTCCCACACTCGGAAATTGACTCTGGAACCGTCCCTGTCAGATTATTCTGCCAGGCGAAAAACAGAGTCAAGCTCCCCAAGTTACCGATCGCCGCCGGGATCTCACCGGTAATTTTATTGTTATCCACTTCAAGATGGGTCAAAGCTTTGCATTCGCAGATTTCGGCTGGGATCGTACCAGACAACTGATTAACACTCAATTGGAGCTCCTTAAGATTGGAAAGCTTCCCGAAACTTCTGGGTACAGCTCCGGTGAGAAGATTCTCCGACAAGTCCACCACCGTGAGCTCCGTACAGCTCCCGAGCTCATCTGGTATCGAGCCCACCAAACTATTCTGCCATAGCAGCAAGCTCTGGAGCTTCTGGAGCTCCCCAATTCGCCGAGGGATGGACCCAGATATTGAATTCTGGTAAAGATACAGATTTTCAAGGTCGCTGCAGTTCCCAATTTCAGAAGGGATTGGACCTGAAAGTAAACAAGTGTAAACGGCTAAAGTTTGAAGCTTTTTCAGCTTCCCAACGGAAGAAGGAACTCCCCCGGAAATGCTCGTCTCGGCAAGACCTAGCATGACCAGATCAGAGCAGTTCCCAATTTCTGCTGGAATCTCCCCTTTCAAATTCTTATTCCCGCCGGCTCTGAAAATCTGAAGCTTGCTCAATTGCCCAACACTCGCCGGAATCTCACCACTCAGCTGGTTATCGTAGATGGTCAGGGAGACCAAGCTACTCAAATTTCCAATCTCATTAGGAATCCCACCTTCCAAGAAATTGGTGTTGACCGCCAGAGTCTGTAATTTAGTCAACCGACAAATCTCGACGGGGATTTCGCCGGAGAGGGAATTGTCGCTGAGGTCGATCAGAGTTAGCTCCTTGTAGTCTCCGAACTCCTTGGGGATTGAGCCGGTGAGGTTGGTGGATGAAAGGACTAGTGATCTCAAGTCTGGTAAGGACTGCAAGTTCCATGGCAATGGACCTTGTAAATCAATGCTTCTGAGAGTGATTTCTACCACACTGTGACTGGGATTGCATCGAATTCCAAACCAATTGCAAGGATTTGGGTGAGAAGGGTCCCATGAGCTCAAAGCGGCCGCTGAGGCGGTGGAGGAAGCGGAGGAGTTGAGAAGAGAGTTCTTCCATGTTAAGAGAGCTTGGCCTTGTGTGTCAATGGAGTGGGTAGTTTGGAATAGGATGAGAAGAGTTATGGAGAGGAAGAGGTTTCTTGTAGATGGAGGCATCGGTGGGAAGAAGCAGAAAGGGCAGGAGGAGGAAGAAGAAGAAGAAGAAGAAGAAGAGTAAAGTAATGGTGTGTTGGGATTGTTGAAGGGAAGGGCTGCCATGGTTTTGTTTATAGAGACAGAGTGATTCTTTTTTAACAGAAAAATTATTAGCAGAAGATCTGGATCCAAATACTTTTCTTTTTCTTTTTCTTTTTTGGCTCTCTATCCTTTCTCAGTTGTTCTGTTCATATAGTTGTTAGTTCTCATTTGGTGTTATTGGGGGAGAGGGTTATTTACTTATTTTGGTTTATTTGCGAAACTGGGATTTTTAGTTTTAGAGGATATTTCAAGAATAAGAAGAGGCAAATACAATGAAACTTTAAGTATGTCCCTTATACCACTCATTAACAATAGGTTTAGTTTTTAATATAATGTGTTATTGAAGAGATTCGAATATGATATATCCAAGTTGATGACAAACGGTTTAACCGCTAGACCAAGGCCTTGTTCGTATGAGAATGTGTGTTTTCATTGAACATGTTTAAGAACTTGCTTACCTTGATAGAGTTTTTTTATCAGTGTTCAAAAAATTACTTTTTCCTTCTCATTCTTACTCTCCATCTATAAGACTCAACAATTCCAACTCAATCACCCTGGAAATTGGTTTATTAGCATCATTATCACCTTTGATTGTATTTTATTTTTCCTGAAAAGTGACATGAAACTTTGCGCTTGGGAGCAATAGTTGAGTGAGTTGTTTCACTTGTTTGTGAAAAAACCAAATTTGCATTTTCCTCCCCTCAACTTTTAATTTTCCCGAGGAAATGGAGGCTATTTTGAAAATCCATTGGGGAAATAGACCCAAAAGATTCCGGGCTTGGAAATTGAACGGGAACGGAAACTTCATTGTTAAGACGACATATCACACGGGACATTTATCTTCAATGGTTAAGTGCCACATGTTTAAGAATTTGCTTACTTTGACCATCGTTTGTTTGTTGGATTTCATGATGGATTTGACATTGTTATATTTGTGGTTGTATTAGGAATTTACGTTAGTGTTTTATTGAGTATTATTTATTTTTACATTATAATTTTTGTTACAAAATAATTTTCATCCAAATAGCTTCGTCCTACTACCATAATCGGAACAAATGAACATGATTAATCAATAACAACTTCATATTATACACATAATTAGACAATTCCTTAAGATTTTCAATGTTGCAAAGTATGCTTTGAGATTAATCATGTAGTGTTTGCGTGCAATGAATAATAACGAGTATTGAATGCAAAATTAGTATGCACTACAAGTTGATCATTAGTAAATGAAAGAGGATAAGTTGGTGATTAGTTTAATAAGTAGGGTTAAAATTGTAAAAAGTCATCATGGACTTTGTCAAATGAATCGAGAATTCATTTCATTGTAAAATGAATTGCCATGTAGAAATAAGTTAGTCACTTTTCATGTTTCGTTGTTTGGTTTTACTGGGGGTGATGTCATATATGGGTCACTTTTTCAATTCTTTGCATGGTTTCTTCTTTTGCTGTTTGCAGCCAAGCCATGAAGAGAAGAACAAAGGCATATTGTTTCCTTTTTCCCAGCCATGTTGCATTATTCACTCCAGAACGCAGTATATATTTTTGCCCAAATCTTCCCACACACAATTGTTTCACACTTACTGATGTGTAAATTGTAATGTGGTCACTACCAAGACTTTAAGAAAGAACCTCTCTTTTTATTTGTGTTTGGAATAAGATGAAGTAAATAAGTTTGTTACAAGAGTTTGATATCGATATGAAAAAGATTAATAGATTACGACAATGTAGAAAGATAAATTATCAACTAGGAGAGAATTTATGGAGAAAGGAAATCAACAATTGAGTATGTCCAATGGAAAATAAACATCATTAATCAAGATGATTGTGATGCTTCATTTCTTCAAGCATCCTAATCAAAGAAAGGGGGTTCAACTTGAGTTCAAGATAGCAGTGTGATTCAATACAGTCAGACTCATCGGTATAATTTTGATCATGATATAGGTTAGTTAGTAAATATTTTCTTCAATTTGATTCTATTTTATGATCGGAAGTACAACTATATTCCGGAATACTTAAAAACTATTGTAAATTTTTCAAACTTCTGATAATTTTTTTTAAAAGCTAGCTTATTGGCCATTTTGCTTCAGCTCATGCTGATATATCTAACAAGTCAACTTGGCAGGTAAATCATAAAACCGAATTGATCTTTCTTTTCTCTATTTATTTGCAATTTTGGATGCAGAAGTAAACAAGGAATTTTTGGGATCTGTAATGTACTGGGAATTCCTGACCAATTAAGTATTTTTCACCCATTAGTTCTTTTCCCCTCTTGGTTTAATAATTTTCCAGGAACATGGGTTGATGTTCCTTTTCCCCCTTAAATTTCATTTGTTTAATTATATTATTATTGAATGGTCAGTGAATGCCTGAATGGAGTAATCAGAGCAATTGTGATTTATCATTTTATGGAGTAAGTGGAGTGAAGTGCACATGCAAGAAAGGAACATTTCGAAAGATCAATTAGTTAATTAATTAGGTTAAAGGATTTGGTTTTCCTCCCATCATCACATGTAGAGGTCGTTTGGATTGAGTATTTGGGGGTGTTATTTGGGGTCAAATAACACAAAATCTGTTATTTGACCCCAAATAACATGTTTGGCTCACAAAAAGTGGATGTGTTATTTGGATGTAGTGTTTTGCCAAATAACAGGTTTGAGACCAAATAACACAAAAAGTGTTGTTTGCCAAATACTTGGGAGGGGCCAGGTATTTGCCAAATAACAAGTTTGAGACCAAATATCACATACTAAATAACAGGTTTTATATTATGTGGTATTTGTGTGTTAATTGGCCCCAAACAACAAGTTTGTCAAATACTCAATCCAAACGACCCCGTAAATGTAATCCTTTTTCTTTCTTTCTTTGTTGGTTTGATTTGATTAATGTTAATATTGCCTTTGAAGCCTGCAAACCTGGTAAAGCTGTCGGGCAGCCTTTGCTGTGGTGCAAAAGAAGGATTAGAATATAACTCTTGACAAAGAAAAAAATTGGATCGGCCGATTATATAAGAGAAAGGAAGAGACAAGATTACACAAGCACACCATATAATACTATTGTTGCCTTCTTCTTAACTAAAAAGAACAAACAAAGAAAGGTACTATTGACAAAGACAAGAGAGTGAGGGAGAGAGGGTTCATTTTGTTAGGTTAATTTATAGGTAAGTATGTTTGTAAGGATTGATCAGGCTCTGAGTACTCATCAAGCTAAGCTACCTTTCATGGTGGTAGGATGTTTTGAAGATTCGATTTATAACGAAAATATAGATTTCATTCTCGTGCTCGTTACTGATTATAGAGGAAGCAAAAGCTTTTTTGATTCTCAAAGTTTTTTAAGGAGTCAAGAGTGCTAACAGCTATCGGTAGAGTTTATTGTAGTCATGATTAGGGATGACAATTTTACCCATACCCATTGGTATTTTACTATCCAATTCAATTGGGTTGAGTATAAATCCAAATAGATGAATACGGGTAGAGTTTGATGGGTTTGTACCCAACTACCCGTACCCATTTACTTGGGTTGAGTTGGGTTTTTAACAAATGGATTTGGGTTTGTACCCATCCCCAAATGCAAATTATAGTTTGGTACCTAAACTTAATATATATGCATATTTAGTACCTAAATTTAATTTTTTTTTGCATATAAGTCCTCAAAATATCGATTGAAAATTAGATTTTAGTACCTAAACTTTTCATGTTTTACAAACAGGTCCAATTTTTGTATGTGTAGTTAAATCACCCTCAAGTAAATGGATATCCATATCCAACCAATACCCATTTAGATTATGGAAACAATATTCATACCTTACCCAAACTCATCTACAAACCCTCAAACCTATATGCATTTCATCCATACCCAACCCATTATCAACGAGTTTACTTGGGTTTGAATATAATTACCCATGGGTGGGAATTGTTTCAATATTCTCATTTAATCATTCTTAAAATGTGGTGGTTTGATGTGTATATTTGAGTGTCTATTTTGTATGAAATCCTTCAATTGTCCAACCCAAGCCTTAGCTACATTCTTCTCCCTTGATGATAAATCGTGAAATTGAGTTGAGTAGCCAAATCGGTCGCATCGAGCATACTCACTTCTTCCGATTTGATTACCATCCTGGATACTAATAGTACTATTTATTTTGACATGGATTTACTTGTATACAATATGCTAATAACATCTAATGGATGAATCATTGGCTACCCTTCTCACTGTAAAAGAGCAAGAAGATAAACCTAATAAATGTATATTTCAAAAGTACAATTAGTGATAACTATAATAACCATTGATGGCATGTAAAAGGACTAATGCCTTAGGGAAACATTTAATGGTAGATACAATTGAAGGGGTGCAAAAGAAGCACTTGTACTGTATTCTCTTCCCCCATTCTTTCTCAATGAAAAAATGTGATTAATTATGAGCAATTATGGAATTTTGGTGTCTTCCTAAATTTGGTATTTAAATTCATTTTACTATATTTCGTACTTATTTGATTTTCTCCCCATTTCTGGATGAAAGCAGCATATTTGTGTAATGTAATCATCTATTTATATATTTGGTATATTATTAGTAAAATTGTTTCAATGTGCCAGAATGGTAGAGATGTGGGTACAAAGGACCCCATATATATTAATCTCTTCACCTTCCATGCTTTTGATTTTTTTAAAGGATGGAATAAATGTAGAGATGGGGTATATTGTACTTGTGTTCTTTCTATTTCCAAGTTTGCAGCTTTTAATTTTTTCCCCTTACCTTACAGAATGAAGTCTTTCCTTTACTGTCTTTAAACAGGACATTCAATCATGATATCAAAATTAACTAATTGATTTTGAAGTGTAGCTTATAGTGATGCTAAATGGGAGAAATTATATCACTTACATTTTTACATTGAAGTTTTACCACGGATGCAAATTGAAAGGTTATTTACGGTTTATACATTTTCATCTGCATTTTTAACTAAAAATATATGGCATGCAATTTGATCATACATATATAGCACGCTCTTAATTAATACCATCATCTACGATTGTTTTGGGCGGAAACCCTAGTAATAAAGTAGTTAGTCTCATCATTTTTAGAACTAGTATTTGTAAATTAAGGTTTCATATGATACAAATGCTCCACTAGTATCATTAGATCTCTTCTATGTATACACCTTGATCAGATCGGCTTCAAAGAGGGAGGAGGTTGCAAGAATTGGATCTGAATGGGATGAATTTTATATATCCATGGTTTTGGATTTGGATTTGTAGATCTAATCCAGCTAATGGGATGAGCATAATAAAGATTTATTCTTGATCCAAATCGGTTACCCTCAGCATGTATATAACAAAAATAGGAGGCTGGGGTGATAGCTAGAGAGGGTCACATGACACTACCTAATAATTATATATGTGATTGATCTAGTTTTCATTTATTTACTTATTTTAATCTCTGTTTTGTTTTCTTGGCACATGTAGATGGAAGAAGAAGAAGAAGATGGGTGTGATGAAATAGTAGTGGAAGGTGCAGAAGAAATGGGTGAAAAATATAGAGACAAAAATTTATGAACATGGTTGTTGGTGGGTTGTGCATGTAGATATAATTAAGGTTAATTTAAAAGTACGAATGTGGTCTCTTCCCATGTTGGCACCATATTCTGTAGTTATTATTATGCTATTTATAGAGATTGGCTTTTTATTGCCCAAGTTTAGAAATATGGGTGGAGAGATGGGATGCACATGATTCAATATGTGAACCATGTACTACAAACCATTTTTATTTATTTATTTATTTATTTAAGTAAGTGGCAGCTAGCACAAGATGTTGCATACTTTCGAAATTGACCAATACATTTTATGTATCGGTCTCGGAGCTATGTCTTACAAAATGCATAGTAGAGCAAGTGAGCTACTTCGTCTAGGTACATTTGGATTTGATCCTAAGTACTAGTCTTCTTATACTGTATGTGGAATTCATTTTATGGATGGAAAAATGACAGTGAAATCAATTTAAAAAAAGAGAAAGGAGAATATACAAAATACAATGTCATGAACTTAATTAAAGGACAACATTTCGAAGTTACGTTGGTGTCATGGAGTTATGATAAAAATATATACAGTTGTGCAAATTAAATACTGAAACTTTTGTAACCATATTGGTGAAATATTTCATTAGGCTTTGAGTTCGGAATTTTCATAATGAAGCATTGAGATATTTGAGGAAACATTTCTTCATCATTTTTGTTTTGTTTTTCTTCCCTAACTAGCCATCATTGTGTTAAAATGAGTAGCCACTAGATTACACAAAGATAGACATCACGATTTATGGTCGCTTGGAATTATATGAAATTGCAAATAAATAATCATGTCCAATTATTAACTTGAGATCTAAAAGAGGAGAAAGGAAGGGAAAAGACCGAGTGAAGTGGACCCTTTAGGAATATTGGAGAACCAGTGAGGAATCATCTTTTTGTTGGTGGTACTTAGGCACACGTGAGATGGATTAGCTTCGTTAATGAGCAAATTTAGATTCAAACACTTGACCAACTCATTTATCTACACTCGAATTATTAAGAGAAATTGATGATAATTAACCAATGTTTTATAAGTGAAACATACTAGAATTTAGGGTTATAGGTATAATATGCCCCTCTACTATGACGTTTTATCAAACATGCCCCTCTGTTATTTTTTACATCAAACATGCCCCTGTACTTTGTAAGAATGATCAAATATGCCATTTTGTTAAAATTTTCATCCAAAAATCGTTAACCAAGACCGAACTTTAGTTTGGGCGACACAAATGACTAAAATATCCCTAATAAATTCACTATAGAATTTTTTTGGTTTTTTTTATATAATCAAATCATTCAAATGATTTCACTTTGAAAAGACCCAGGGAAATAAAACAGGGGACAAAACTGACCTTTTTCCTCCCATTTGCCGATGTCGGGTCATCTAAATCTCGGTTCAACCACGATTGACGATTTTTTCAATGGAAATTTTAACAGAAGGGCATGTTTGATAATTTTTTCAAAGTATAGGGACATATTTGATGTAAAAAATAGTAGAGGGCATGTTTGATAATATATCATAGTAGAGGGGCATGTTTGATAATACACTCGAATTATTAAGAGAAATTGATGATAATTAACCAATGTTTCATAAGTGAAACATACTAGAATTTATTTAAAATTGATTGATTGTTGTTTTTGCACACGTCATTTTACAAAGAGCCTAAAAATTATGTTATACATAAAGGAAAACCTTATTATTCTCCTCTAACCATGAATCAATTAATTTAATATGTATGTAGTAAATCATGCATAGATAGATATTTTGACACAACAACAATCTATGCTAAATAAAGATGAATAACATTTCATCGAGCTATTATATTTGTGAATTTTTTTTATAATTTGAAAGTTTTTTTAAAATGAAACAATCAACAAAACATATTCCAATATTCATAATTCCACAAAAATAATAGCATATATTACACTCAACAAAACAATCATCATGGTCAAAACAACTCTTGATTTACCTTTCCATTGAGATGATGAGGCTCAATATAAACAAATTACAATTGATCACCATGGGAACTTGACCCAGTAATCCGGAGTCATCATGAGGTGTGGTGTAATTTCGATGAAAATAAGTACCAAAAAAATAGGGGAGATTAGTCCCAATTTGGCTAATGCAAAATCCACATCAAATTGCATTCACAAGTCCTTTCTAATAATTTCCCATCACCCTTAGGCTTTTCTAGTTCACACGGTCTCTTGTCCTCTTCTGTTTATTCAATTATTTTTAATTATGAGGCTTAGTGGAGATTAGGCTCTCAATAATAACAATTATTTTCCAAATCTATGTCCTACTCATAATTCATAATCTATATGTCCATTCTGTTTTGGCATCTTCTTATGATATGCATATTCTCATCCATACACACGGGGATGCCGATTCATCATAATACCTCCTTATTAGCTAGCTGAGAAGATAATATGAAGTTGGAAGCTTAGTCATGTTTTCTCTTGCTCCCTTTCCATGCATGATAAGTACCATTTTGTCAAGATAGGATTTCTATCGTGACTAAATACTTCGGATCAAGATGAATTTTATTATTATATATAAGTCATGAATATGAATCAGCCAGATCCGGAGTTCATAATCCTTTATTTATGATCAGAATGTCTTGTACGATCCTGACAACCTCCAACATTAATGTTTCGTAGACGTACAAGATATAATGAATTTGTGCAAACAAACCCCAACAGTCCGACTCACGTTTGAGGTAGTGTGTAAGTAAATGACTTAAAAACTTCAGTTTTATTTTTAATCTTCTCAAACTAATTCGAGATCGGACAAATTGATTCTTGCAGATAAAAGATATTTGAAAAGGTCAATTTATTGTCCCATCCACAATAATTCATCCAAAATTGTCCCTAATTTCAGGATTGTTGTTTCTTTGACTTGTACAATTAATGGGTTATCGCATAATAAAGAGTTATAATGACAATGGAAGTGGAAGTATTTATTCACAGAAAAAAAAAAAGAAGAAGTGGAAGTATATGTTTGCACAAATCCAAATGAAATAAAACTTTTATTAGTTGTTGGGTCATTTTCTGTCTTTACCTAAAGCATCAAAATTTAAAATATATGTATTTATACAATCCTTGATTAAAAGGTCAATAGTAAAAAAAAAAAAAACATATATGAAATAAACTAAAACTTTTTGTGAGTTGGCCTCCCCTGCTTTGCTTCCTCCCACTATGTTTTCTTGCGCTTTGTACATCATCATAATGTTATAGTATGCGACTGATATAAGGGAAAACTTTGGAATTTAGTGACTATTGTCTATGTACACAAGGCTATTTATTCTGTCTTGGGTGAAAATGGTTCCAGTTAAGAGGTCTTTGAACATTTTCTTCTTATAAGTGATATGAAGTTCAGAATGAGGCCATTTTTGTCGATTTTCTCCTTCGAGTTGAAAGTATCAACTAATTTAAAGGAGATGATCGATCACTAAACATCGATCTACAGACTTCCAGTTAAACCTATAAAACATACAATAACCAACTTCTCCAATCCAATCAAGCACATATTCTTCCATTCCATGTGCTAGCTCAGCTGTATTCTTAAATCTAAGAAGTTATTGTACAACTTCTCCAGTCAAACAGACTTGAAGTCAACTTCCCAACAGACTTACTGGCCATTGCACCAAACTGATAAACACAAAACTCCCTCTTGTATTGGCAAGCATTCCCCCCCTCCAGCTCCCGTCGGCCACTGTCATGGCAGCAAACAAGAGATGGACATCGACAACTAAAATAACTTGAGACTATTCTCTTCTGCTTGCTTTCATTGTCATCCCCACCCATTCATAACCTTTGCTGGCTGAATGGCCTGCCCCAGTCCCACAGATCAACATTCACAATATGGCTGGCATGGGGTATACACGGATTGATGAAGGATGGTGGGATGATCTCCACTAAATGATCCAACAAAAACAAACCAACCCCATATATACATATGCCCACACTTTACTTTAGCATAACAAATGTCTCCCATACATCCTCTAATGGGACGTAATGATTTGCCTAGCCTTCCAATGCAGTATGTATATCGGCTCATATATATATGCAGACACATATCACATATGTATAATATGTATTCCAAACAAAAACTGGATTCCAATTTGTGCTCTCCAACAGTCAATAGAGCCTTTAGACGAACATATGGATAAGACCAACGGAATAATGGAAACCACTTTGTTCTTTTGATAATTCTGGGATTTCAATCTTCATTTCAAGTTTCTCAAAGGACAACCTAATGAAATCTCACCAAGTGACTAGAAGAGAGAAAATATACAAAGATAAACCTGGTTAAAACTGTGAGGACATAGCCACTGTCACCTCCCGAAAATTCTCATCACTGTTGAAGTTAGTGAAGAGGTGATAAATTTCATCCCAGTTGATCCACCAGGGAAGTAGGATATTGAATAGTATATAAGTGCCATAACCTACAATTTGCAGGAAACATCAACTTCAACATGCAACCAAGAGCAGCAATTAAGGTTTCATTAAGTCGACATCTTGAACATACTATCTAGCAGTTACCTGTATCACAGAGAAGAGTACTGAAAGAACGTAGCTGTGAAGCACCATGGAGACGTATATGGTACCAGCCATACTGCCTAGGAACCCCAATGAAAATGGAAGCCTCTGCATACGTTTTCATTTAATGTTAGGGAAAATGATCAGAATTAGGGTGTGCAAGAAGGAGTGCATATGATCATGTATATGCACCATTCTTGATAACATACCTCTTTTGATATCATATGAGCAAATTGATTCTGTGGGCCTTTGAGTGCAAATAATGACCCAATGATAAATATACATCCGAGAGTAAAGCATATTGCAAACTTTTGAGGCACTAGTACAATCACCGGAAGGAACAGGGCAAAAGCAATAAAAACAAAGAACACGCCAGTCGCTAGGAATAAGCCGAAGTACATGAGAGCTTTCCCGGAAGGTATGTTGCTAGTAGCTGACTGCAAGTTACCAGGCATTTCTCTGACTCCCTTAGAAACCCTAGACAGATAAGAACATGCCAAAACAAAGATAGAATGAATTACTAGTCCATTTGCTCACTTCCATCAGAATTGCTTCTCCACAATAAAATAGAAATGCACTCACTAGTGTATAGCATTTCAAAATTTATACATATGTATGTAATCGACTCTTAAAGCCAGTTAAAGCATCTCAGAATAAATGACTTGCTTCAGTTCTGATAAATGACATGTCAACACATGGCATAACTATCTTTGCTGCCTAGGATTAGACAGCTCATAGTACATCTGCCTCATTATTTTCATGAAGTGACAATTTCTTTAGTGACAGTCCAACGCCTCTAAATCAGCTAGCAACTTCTCAGGCATGATACTCCAATGAATAAACAATGATTTTCTTCGCATAGGCAGAAAATCAGGAACTATTTGAGAATTGATCATGAAAGGATATTGACTTGTACATCAAGTTTGTAACTTCTGCTTATCTGCTTATTAAAGATTCACAATCCAAGAAAGTGGAAAAAAACAAAAAGAATACTTTCTGAGTCAGCTGAAGAAAACTGCTAATCATAAAAGCAAATTTGAAGTTTTCAATTGCTTCTCACATTTTAATTAGAACATCACAACCTAGATATTCCATAAATTGATTGATGACTCCTATGTTCAGAAAGTAATTAACTTTGAAACCTTTAGGAAACAAATAATAAAGAATCATAAACTTCAATGAAGTTCCAGCCAACAAGTTCATCGTTTGTGTTGCTCAAGACTACTAGAAGGCTCTCAAATATAGACTTAAACAATGTCTACAACTCGATGATCTCTATGGTTCCTATCGACTCCCAGGCAACTTTCCAACACCAATTTGCTAATTTCTTTATGCGAGATCGAAGGGTCTGCCAGCAGACTACGAGAATTATCAAACCTCTCCAAACAAAAGCTTCATAGCAGGGAAATGTGGTGCTGCCCTTTCGTATTGGACCATGATGATACAAAAGTATGTTCTCACCAATCCATTCCTATTCTAGCCACCCAAATTGATCCAACCAACTAAATCTAGCCTTTTCATTAATTCAATCTCAAAGGGCAGCAACGAATTCTAATATCCAGTCACCTTCACCATAGCTCAAACTCTTGCTATCAAAAGCAAATCAAGATCCTAAGGGAAACAGCGTCTAGTCAGCTCATTTTACAAGAATTAGGCAATTTGCAAACTCCACTCCCCAAACCCAGACTAATCTACATCCCTAGATCGACGGAAATCTCACCAGCGCCATGAACGCGGGGAAAAAAAAAACTTGATCAGAACATTTCAACGATACAATCAGAAAAGTTGTAGGGGAGGCACTCACACATTGAAGGTTCCCGAAACCGTTTCGTTGGCGGACCGGACGGCGGATTCAAGATCGAACCCGAGACTCATTCCGCTGCCTTCATCGTTGGCGTTTCTGGACGAGGCGTAAGAATTCCAGTCAGCCAAGAGAGACGACGATGTCTTCTGCTGCTGTGGCAGCTGTTGGTCTTCGCTAACGGTACCTGAGAACCAACTCTGTGCCATTTTCTGCATTGCGCTCTGTGCTCCGGAGTTACAAACAGAGTCTACCGCCCTTAAACTCGACCAGGAGACGGACAGTTCTACCAGATCGGAATTTCCCGAATTAGGAATCGCAAATGGTGGTTAAGCTTCTGGTGGAGGGAGGTTTCGGGGGTTGGGATGATTGGTTGATTGGTCTCTCTCTCTTCTGCGAAGAACAAACAGTCCGCCTCGTCGAAGCTTCCAAGCTAACCATTCATGGGGGAAAAACCGGGGTGAAGTACGAAGGCCCAAAACGCTTCTTCTGTATACAATTGAAGCACCAAAGAAAAGCGAATGCGGCGCCGTTTCGGTGGAAGGTAGGCGCAGGACTGGGGAATTCATGGGCTTCAGTTAGACAATGGCCCAAAAAGTTTCCTCTCTATTTAATTGAAGGCCCAGAAAACTGAAATCGGACGGCGTTTCGGGTGGGTGGTAGGCGGACGGTCGTCGATAACGGAAAACCCCCTCAAACTGAAAAAACGGATACCAGAAACGGGCGAAACGCGAAATGGTTTGGGTCCTCAATTCCTGAATCGAAACGCTTCTTCGTTATTTAATTGAAGCCCAATAGAAAAGCAAATGCGGGGCCGGTTTAGAATGGAGTTAGGCGCTGGACGGGGGAAAACATGGGCTTCGGTTAGACAATGGCCCAAAACATTTCCGCTCTATTTAATTGAAGGCCCAGAAAACCGAAATCAGGAGACGTTTCGGGTGGGTGGTAGGCGGACGGCTGGCGAAACGGGAAACTTCCGCAAAGTGAGAAAACGGGCACCAGAAACGGGAGAAACGCGAAACGTTTCAGGTCCTCAAAACCAAAATCGAAACGCGAGAAATTGACGAGAAATTGAAATTGACGAGATCTCGCGATATGACAATATATCGCGATATTTAGGCGATTTATTGACTTTGTGCGATATATTGACCCTGTGCTGAATTGACCCCTCGATTAGCAAGAAAAAAACGAGAAAAAGAACCTAAATCCAGTCGACGATCGCATAGAAAAGCGGGGAAATGTCAGAAAACATACTCCGTTCACGACGTGCGCCAAAATTCCTGCATCCAATTGCAATTTCGATTCCATAATCGGTTCAGCGGCCGAAATTCCAGCATCCATTTGTGAACTTGGAAGAATCGAGGCTGCAGTATGTCTTTGCGTTTCTGGTTCTTGTGCATTGTTGGACTCTACCGATTGCTGCTTGGATTCGGCCAATCGGGAGCTTTGGTGGAAGCAGAAGTAAGCTACATCTATTCGACTACTCGGCAGAGGGAAAAGTCGAGGGCGGAGAAGAAAGCTACACTGTGACGATAACATAGAATTCATGAAGGGATTGCCGTTGTTGCACAAGCGCAGCTGAGTGTTCAATTCAGGAGCTGGATAATGCCTGCGACTGGGCAAGTTCTGCTTGTTTCTCTTTCATTTTTGTTTTTACTGGTAGGAGAGGAGATGGCGCGAATTTTGGGCCTCGTTGTTCAAGCCCACGGTCCAGACTTTGAGCCAAGGCCCATATTTTCCCCATCATATCATCACTTTGCACGTGGGCTTTCTTTAATAAACACAGCCCATCCTGCAACCCGACCGACTATCCGGAATCCGAAGCTAAGAGTAGAATAGAGAAGCAGCGCCACTGCTGTATTCCATAGAAACTTCGCCACCATCGCCCGCCGCCTGAATTCACGCTCAGGCTTTCGTCTTGTCGCCTGACCTGCTGCCGTATTGGAAGCATTGTTTGATCGGAAGTCTGAAATCGATTTTTCTATATACAAACGAGGAGTATCATCAAACGGAAAAGGATTGATCGGGAGTTTCTTACTTTGAGCAAGTGAATTCTTCTTCTTTAAATGGGGAAGAGAAAAGAGCGACGCCGAGCCGCTTTGAACAACACTGGCCGTCGCGTTAAGCTCGATCTCTTCGCGGAACCCTCTGGTACCACAACTTCCAAACCTCCCTCCCTCTTCTTTTCAACTATAGGCTTCTGTCTGTTAGTCGTGTCCTGATTGCGCAGCCCAAAATCCCTAAATTATACGCTGGCGATTGGTTTCAGCTATCCATTTTACTTGATTCAGCAGCTTGATTGTGTTATGTTCGGATTTTCGCCTTTGTTATTTCTAGAGCTACTTGTTTCATTTGGAGTTGCTCTGGTTCTTTCCTTCAGTTATGTCAATCTGGTGAACTGAGATGCATTTTGTGGTTAAGTTATAGAGTTGGATTTGGCTGTGCACCTCCCTTGCATTATATGCATTCCCTATATCTGTTCGACTACTGTGTAGGAATTCATCTGGTTAAATTGATTTCACATTGAAGTTTAACAATGATTATATTGAAACATGTTTCAGGAGATTTGGGTGGCTCCTCTGTACACGATGAAGTAGTTGGAGGAGGGGATAATGATCCAACACAACGTGCTGGATTACCCAATTCGCCATCATTATCTTCAGGTGGGTTCCGTCAGTTTTCTTCAGAAAGGATATATGTAGGGAAGAGATGAGTTTTGGTGGCTTGTTCTCTGTTGTTAGCCTCCCTCCCGAGTATTTTGTTCTCAGATTGTTAGGGGTGGCTGTGGTCATGGCAACTTCCAATACCAGATCAGGTCAGGGCCCTGCCACAGCAAAAAATAATGAATACTTCCCCACTCTCTAGTGCGCTATTACGAAGCATCCGAGCATATTGCAGCATCTGGGATAGTTTCTTTGCGGTTCGTATGTTTCTGAGCTTTATTTGTTTATTTTATCCCTCTGCTGACATTTTGTGTATGTGAAACAGGTTATCTCGGAACGGGGATTCTTAAATATCCGCTGGCACTTCTTTTTAAACTTAGCTGTTGCAATGATTGATACAGTTTTGGTCCAGTTAAATTGATTTTGAAAGAAATTGTCCTAAGCTCCTTTCTTTGTTTTTGGGATACTTGGTCAGTGTATAAGCTGTTGTAGGCTTTACATCATCTGACTTGTTAGTTTCGTTTTTGGTTTTCAGGTCAGCAGCCACAAAATCCTCTTCTTTTGCTCGGACAATACAGTGATGATGAGTTGGATGTGGAAAAAGATAAACATCTCATCAATGCCGCTAACAATAGTCCTTCAGCTGATCTTAGTAATCAGGTAAGTTTTGTATATTCTAACTTGGTTACATATAATCTCTCATCTTTGTTTATGGGTTAAGTGACCATGCTGAAATTGCTCGGCCTAATTGTAGGATATACACCCTGCTGAAGGAAATGATAAAGACAGCAATGCATTTCAAGATCCTTCCATCCAATCAAACGATCAGCAGGATATGGATGCAGATCCTACCAATGTTGATGCTATACAGAGTGTGAATGGAGTTGATAATAAGGATCACGATACAACTGTTCATGATGACACTAGCAAATCTTTCATATCAGCAGAACAAGCATCTGAAGGGGGAGTTTCTGCTCCATTAATTGCTGGAGATTCTGCTCCACTAGTTGCTGGAGATGTGAGTTTAGGCTGGAGGATGGTACTGCATGAGGAGAGTAATCAATACTATTACTGGAACCCTGGAACAGGTGAGACTTCATGGGAAGCGCCCATTGCTTTGGCTCACATGGGATACATGGTTAATCTGGAGGCATCTGTTGCTGAAGATACAGGGAGTCTTCCAGTGAGTAAGAGTCAGAACGATTCCATTTCTGTTGTCGAATTGGCTCATTCTTTTCCCGCACCAACCATAGATGGCTTGTCAGGTGTCATTTGCACTCCATTGAGTGAAGAACCACATAGTAGTATGCAACAAATTTATGCGTCTCGTCATCAAGTTGAAAGTAAATCTTTGAAGAGTGAAGGTCTGGAAGCTCATTTGCTCCAAAATGAGCTGGGGAGTAACCCTGTTTCAGTTCATGGACAATCAGGTGAAGGGTACACAGCTCAAGATGAACCTAGACATGCTGCAATTGCTACCGATATCCATCGAGAAGGCAGGGATACTTCAACAAGTCTGAGGACTCAATGTCAGTGCTTGTTGGAGAGGCTGAAGTCCTTGAGAGGGTTAGATCACTATTGCTTGCTTCTATACGTTTCTGCTCTTTGCATATTTATATCCTTTTATAAGCTATCGGCTATAGTCCTACGACATTTGTTCTCATTTGTCTTTCCTTTTGTTTCATTGTCTTCTCAGCTTTGACAGATGGCCCCAAGATCATGAACTTATGTTGAAGTACATTATAGAATTAGAGACACGTCTTTCTGACATTGAGTCCCTTTCATCACATGGTTTGCAGTTGCTTCCATTTTGGACGCACACAGAAGTAAGGCTCAAACAATTAGAAGATAAAATTAACAGTGAAATTTATCGGCTTGCTGTATCTGCACAAATGGATGATGATGTTGAGCTAACCCCTGTAGTCTGTGAAGGAAAGCCACAACACCAGGATGGCCTTTTTAATGAATCTCCTGCAGACGCAGCAGGAGGCAGGAAGTCACCTACTACTGTCAATGTGATTGACAGTTCTCATATTGAAGGTGCTTCTGATTCTGTTTCGTATGCTGTTCATACTTCCCCTTCTGAAGCAGCTGGTAAAGTTTCAGAAAATGATGCAATGAATGCAGAGGTAAACGAGACTGCTGAGTTGAAGCCCGACTTAGTCAGCATTGAAGATGTTGATATGGATATTGAAATGGAAGTTGAAGATGCACCTGTAAACTCTACCCCGTCTGAAAATAATATTCACACGGGTGCTGCTCCCTCTGAGCAGTTCATTCCTTCTAATGCACCTTTAGATTACACACCCCTTGTAGCAGGAGAATGGTCAGCTGTTCCTCCTGAAGAAGAATGGATTCCTCCACCACCGCCTGATACTGAACATATTCCTCCACCCCCTCCCGACGACGAACAAGTTCCTCCACTACCTCCTGATGAGCCTCCAGATTCTTCTTACTCTATGCCTGCCTGTTCTGGAGCAATGGTTCAATCGGCCAACTATCCAGAGCACTATGGCTATCCTTATATGGATTCGAACTTCCAATATTATGGTTGTGCATCTAATTTGCCAAGTGGTAGTTTCTATGTGCATGTTGATGGAAGTCAAGTTGCAATCCCACACACATCGCTTTATTATGGCCCTGTTTCAACTACATATGCTGAAACACCTCCTGTTATGGTTAACCCACTCGAGCAAGTAGCATCCTATAACCACCTCCAAACACTGCCTCCTGGGACTCTCCTTACCGGCCAAGAATCTTCAAACTTGCCAACAAACGTTGGTACCATGCAATCTGATTCCAGTTATATTATCAATGCTGCCAACTCAGTAGAATCCGAACAATATGTGAAGCCCGAGCCACCTTCGAATGTGAACAGCCAGGCTCCTGATGTCAGCAATGATGAAGGGACTGTTTCTAGTTCGATCCATGTTCTTGGTGCTGCTGCAGCTGCATCTGCCCCTTTAAATGCTAAGGTCCAATCTAAAGGTAAGGTTTTGATATGTAGGCCTGCTGGTGATTTTCTAGCCCCATTGGAACTAAGATGCAATTTTCAGTCAATTTGTTGTTCAGATTGTGCCAAGTGCCAACTTTTTTTATAGCTTTTCTCAGTCTGCCGCTTGACTACTTGTATCTCTCTACTTAGCACCCTAATGGTCATGTATTGTGATGAACTAAGGAAGACTACATTAGACTAGGAACCTGTGCATAGACAAAAGATGATTTTGTTAGTGGCTTATATGTGGATCAAAGCAGGCTTTGTTTTCGACCCAAGTAGCCGGTAAGGCTGCTTTAATTCTGTTGTTCGATTATGGGATGTTCAAGGTTTTGACTTTCGTGCTATCTTTTGTGTTTAGATATGGCTCATGGTAAACGGCTCTGCTAGTGGTGCAAACGAGGCCCTATAATTAGGAAGTATTCTTTAGCTGTTTCACTTTTGCAATCTAAAGAAGTCAAGCCCAAGCAATTGGAAATTATCAAAGAAATAATAAATAATGGTCAACTGGCAAATAGTCCATCTTAAAGACCTATTTTGACGCCTGTAGCGCCATTATGTTATGGTTTGCTCGGGTGCTATTCCTTTCATTGGTCAGTCCCTGCCCAAAAGTTTGGAGTGGCCGAGGCTATTTGCTGTAGGTATTGGGGAATTGAATGATTCTTTTGTTTTATTGTGTCTATCTAGCTTATCTTTCAATTACTGACGTGAATTCTCGTTTGAATCAGTTTCTCGTGGCAAGAAGCGGACTGTTGCTGTCTCAACCTCCTTGAGATCTAATAAGAAAGTATCAAGCCTGGTGGACAAGGTATGGTCTTCTGTTCCTTGTGCATACTAATGCTTTATAATGCCTAACATATTTCTTATTCATACCCACTCTCTCTTCTTTCCACAGTGGAAAGCAGCGAAAGAGGAGTTGAAAGAAAATGATGAAGATGAACCGGAAAATGCACTTGAGATCCTGGAGAAGAAGCGGCAGAGAGAAATTGAGGTTTGTAAGGCGATGTTGTTCCTTTGTTTTTTAATTCCTCTGGTTCCCTTGCACGCTTTCCTTAAGTACATATCTCATTGTAGGAATGGCGTGCTAAGCAAATTACTAGTGGAGAGGCGAAGGATAATGCAAATTTTCAACCTCTTGGTGGCGATTGGTAAGTTAACAATTGGACATTAGTTTATGGGACTCTGGTGAACATAAAAAGGATCACCTTAGATGGAGGGACAACCAGTGCTCTCTCTTTATAGTCTGCATTCAGCTGAAATTAGTGTGAACAGTTAGCTGGTTGTCTCTTACACGTTCTCAATGTTCTTCCTTCATGGCCGACTTGGATGCCATCAGCAATCTACTTGTATGGTATACGGAATACAATTGGATAGATTTATCTTCTCTGTGGTATCTTGCATGCTTTTCATGCTGCTGCATTATTTTCAAAATTTCCATTATGTACACTTCTCACAAATTCTTAGGCATTCATTCGTAGACGTGAGGAATCAGTTTCTATTCTCAATCCCGTCTCTTTGATCTTCGCATGTTACTCTTTTCCCCAACTTTCAGGCGTGAGAAAGTAAAGCGCAGACGAGCTCTAGCTGCCAAGGAAGAAGCCAAGAAAGCAACCAAGGTTGATGTTGCTGATGCAAAACAGCCACCCAATTTAGCAGAACTATCTAAGGGTTTACCATCTGGTTGGCAGGTGTATATCTCCTCTTTATTCATAATCTTTCACAGAACAAAGGGTATTGCATTTTTTTGATATTTCGATTTCCTTTCCAGGTATATTGGGATGAAGCATCAAAACAGGTCTATTATGGCAATGCTGTTACTTCTGAGACGTCCTGGACAAGGCCGACAAATTGACAAAAGAAAATTTTTCTATATTGACAATTGGGTCTATTGAGGCTGTGTCCAACAGATTTTGTAATGTCACCCTTTGTTCTACAACGCATTACGCACAGACTGTGGGCTATTCATCTGGAGCCCAAGTAGGGATTCTTCATCGTGCTCTGGCTGGCATGTATGAAAGGACCACAAATTTGTTTCTTGAGGAAAATTCCACAAGCTTTTGCTAAGTTTTGGTGGTTCAGCTTCAGCTAAAGTTGATTTTCCTTAATCACCCCTGATTGGCTAATTTCTCTCTAGTGCTTGAATTATTACTATTATGTGCCTTACATTGTTAAGCAGGCATAGCCATATGACACAAAAACTTGTGACAAGGTGAAAAACAAATTTTGCTTGCTTGCTTTAGCTAAATCAATCTATTTGCCTCAATAAGCAATATACAGGTATTCCACCTATATTTCGACTTCAAATTCTATAATCAACATACAAAGAATACTATCGATGTGAAAGGCAGCATACACATTCATCTCCTCCTACGCTCTGAATAATCATCTTCGCTCTCCTGATCTTTCAAGAATCCTAGAAATACAAGAAAGCCGAAAAGAAAAAAACCACCAGACCAATTCCCTCCACCGCCACCTCCCCCTCCACCGCTGCCTCCACCGTCACAAGGTGGAAGTCCAGGCCCGCCATCATCCAGGTGAGGAGTCTTTGTTGGTTCTGGAGTTCAATAAAACATTGCAGTAAGCGTGTGTATAACAATACCAAGAGAAACAAACACAGAACAGTTGCTCAAAATCTCCATGTATAGTACACGGAGGACTACAATGACAATACAGAAGAACATTAATAATCTCCGATCACATTGGCCTCGTATACACTGGTCATTAGAGTACTGAACAGAACATCTGAACCGGTTAGATACGGTTCATTGAAATGTAATGTCATTTACCAAATGGGAAAAAAGCCAGTCAATTCGTGGTTGCACTACGCAGCATCTAACTGTCACCATTATTTCCATGTATGATGACCATGTTCAATCTTGTACACCAACTACCTACACTGACCTTAAGCTACTATGGCCAGTACCACACAGCTCACTCTGTGTTTCCACTGTCTCCAACTGTCCAGAAATATTTATCTTATCCCTCCGCTATATATCCATCAAGTTGAACACCATGACATCTTAGGAGCTATCAGTAAGTAAGACAACCTGTCGTTGCAGTTGTACATATTGAACTATCATTTCACGACCAAGTCCAGGAGTAATCAAAATGCAATTACCTCGTACAGGCACCTGGGTTATGGTTGGGGCCTGCTTGGTTACGGTTTGAGTCTGCTCAGAAGCCGAACACCTTGCATTCTGCCAAAAGATGTGGAGTATTGGTTCCATTTCACAATAATTTGAGAAAACAAGGGACAGGGCACCAAATAGCGTATCAAGCTTGTTGTTAATCACTTTCTAACAAACGTGCAGTTTCTAGTTCTTGTCAACAGTTTGGACCAATACTCAATTGGTTTTCTCCTTAGATCATAACACGCAAACATCTTGACAGTAATCATCATCAGTAACAAGAAACAGAAGTATACGATCCAACTTCTCTGCCTTACTATTTGGAGGCACATCCATCAAACGGGGCAACAGAGTAGGTCAATTGACAGAGAGACAAATAAGAAAGCCTATATACTCTAGAGTCTAGACACTTGTGTACCGGCAGTAGCTTTAAATTAGCAATTCAGAAGTAAGCAAGTTAAAAAGATTGATATGAAGAAAAACCCGGTGAAAAGAAATACAAGTGCAAGAGCAAAGAGCAGAAAACAAATTAACAATTTCCCATCATAGGAAACAACGCATTGGACAGCTATTAAAACAGAGAATAGAGGCAAAATAGGCTTTGCATCTTTTAAATCAAGGGAGCTAGGAAAGATTGATCCAAGGGTACTAAAGAACTTCAACTTGTTTCTCCCTATCATTGCAGGAACTTGCATCTTTCTTTTCTTCGGGTGAAGAAGAGAGCTTACAATTACAAAACCAAGGAAACTGGCTGGAAAACATCAAATTTTAAGATTCAAACCCATTCCCTAACAAGGAATCAAAATTCTTACGAACGTAAGAGCACCAAAAAAGGCAATAATGCACCAAAATTATAAAGAACGCTTTCTAATCTCACCAGAGCAGCTGAGCATATGATAACAGCAGAACGACTTCGCATGGGCTCGTACAATGGTTTTACTGAAAGCCTCTCTGAGCTAGACATCACAAGCTTATCATTTGACCTTGCATCCAAAGGTTGAAAGTGCAAAACTCCCCCAGGCTCGCTTTTACAGCAGAACATGAAAAATAGAAGTGCACAACATCAATTCTTAGCTTCATAATTGAGCAAACTACAAAGCTGGTTGAGCGGATTCTTGGTGCTCTAGAACTAACACAAACATGTTATCATCTCAATCGCTACAGTTTCACTCTTTTAACGTTCCACCAAATGCTCGATAGATCCAAGGAAATACCTGGCGCGATCAGTGGTAAGGAGGCAGCAGCAGCTTGCGCAACAGACATCCTGAGATATGATGAACAGACTGTGGAGTTATCCGCCAATGTGCTGATATATGATGAACAAGCGAATAATCCAACCTACAGAGGAAGAAACCAACCGCAAATTGTTCATCAATCCGGAATGAAGGGGAGAAAAAAACTAGGATAAGATAGATGAAACTGAGAACTAAACCAGAAGCGAAATCAGGGACGGCTTTCTATTTTTGACGCGAAATTTGACTAGTGCGAGAGAAACCGGAAACGAAGGTGATTGCATTACGATTAAAAGGATCGCGCGCGAAAGGAAGAGGGAGCGAAATAGCTAGCAAAGAGATTGAGAGGGAGGAATAGGGGTACGTACCTGGAAGAGACAATCTGTTGATTTTCGTAAGGAATAGTGCGCCGGAGCGGCGGCTTGAGAAAAAGGTTTTCAGCCGGCGGGAAACATACGGTGCCACTCCAGAGGCGGTTGAGGAAGTGCGGCGCGCTGGAAAATATATACAGCCAGTAAGTCGGGTTGCGTGTTTGACCCGACCAGCAATAGATCAAATCAACCCGCACCAACTCATTTTTACATTAGGGATAAAATTAATCAAGCTGACATAAGGGATAATCACTTGGGTGCTGTTTTGGAGGAGATATGTCATTATTTTTGTGCTCATTCTGGGTTTAGTGTACGATTTATAGGTCGAGAGAACAATAAGGTAGCTTACTTGGTAGCTAGAAAAACCCTCTCTTTGTATCCGACTGTAGGTTGTTTCTTTGATTTCCGAACCTGACTGGTATCCAGGATGTAATTATCTATTTGTTTGGATTAATATATGAGGGGAAAAAAAACACTTAGCTCCATTGCCCTTCTCCACCAAGCAAGGCAATAGCAGTCGGGAAAGTACAATCACTAACCAATTGAAGTTAAAATCGAGTTTGTTACTCATGATGTGATTCTAGTAAGAATGTTAACTAAATCAAATGAGATTTGATAAATTTCTTCGTTAAGATTGTATGATTAGAATTCTCAACAGTAACATCAATAAATAAAGTAGGGATAATATATATTTGTACAACAAGCCAATTTGGGTACAACCCCAACTTTACATTAGTAATTAGTTCAATATTGTAAAACACTTATGGATGCAATCTGACGAGTCTTTATTGAACTGAAAAACAAGTACATATAGGGTTTGAGATTGGCTCTAACTCTCAGACTGCTCTCCAACATTCCACTAACCAAGAAACTCGCTAACACTACTAACTACTCAAACTGATTAAGCTGGAAAAGCTCAACAGCTTTGACTCACTAACCAGGGACCAAACTGCAACAAACAAAAAACAAAGACTGACTCTGCAATAGTGCACAACGCAGGATTGCTTATTAAATTAGACCAAACGGCGCCGTTTCCTCCAGCAGTAAACAACTTTCAAAATTGGCGCCTTACTTCTTGAATCCGAGAGCAGTAAGGAATCCTTGATCAATCAGGACTTCTTCCAACATATCCTCCCCTGAACTGGAGCTCCTCAGCAGCCTGCTCCAGTTCATCCTTCATGCCTTCTTCACTTAACTTCAGCTCCAGAAACATCACAAACACCAAGTTCCTCCCTTAACCTGCAGAATGCCTCCAAGGACAGACCCTTTGTCATTATATCAGCCACCTGATCCTTATTGCCATAGTACCTGAGCTCCACAACCTCGTCTCTGACCAGCTCCCTTAAAAAATGAAATATAACATCGATGTGTTTGCTTCTTCCATGGAGAACAGGGTTCTTGGACAGCTTAATTGTAGAGCTGTTATCACACATGATGACAGTCCCTTTCTCCACACTTGACTTCCATCCAATGTCAGCAAGAATTCTTCTTAGCCACACCCCTTGAGCAGCACAGTATGCAGCAGCCACAAATTCTGCTTCTGTGGTGGACAAAGTGACAACAGGCTGCTTTTTGGAAGCCCAGGACACTGCCCCTCCTGCAAGAAAGTAAATGTACCCACTAGTGCTCTTCCTATCATCAGAGTCTCCTGCATAATCACTGTCTGTGAAGCCCATCAGAGAGTCTTCTCCACTTCCTTGCTTGTACCAGATACCATAGCCCTGAGTTCCTTTCAAATATCTTAGAACCCTTTTGGCTGCTAGTAGATGTTGCCTCGTGGGAGCCTCCATGTACCTGCTCAAAGAACACACAGCAAACATCAAATCTGGTCGTGTGGCTGTGATGTACAGCAGACTGCCAATAAGTTGTTTGTACTCAGTAGCATTCACCAGACAACCATCTCCTGCTTTAGTTAGCTTAGTTCCAGGAGCAATAGGATTGTGCACAAAATTGCACTCAGCCAAATTGAACCTCTTCAAGACCTCTTTTGCATACTTCTGTTGTGAAATGAAAATGCCAGCTTCTCTCTGCATTACTTCTACTCCCAAGAAATATTTCATTTTCCCCAGATCTGTCATTTCAAACTCAGCCTCCATTGATCTTCTGAACTTTTCAACCATTTCAGTGCTTGTACCAGTGTACAATACATCATCTACATAGATGCTAACCAGCAGTGATCCTTTTGTAGTGTTCTTGATGAACAATGTGGCTTCATGCTGGCTTTTCTCGAAACCAGATGCTAGAAAATAGGCTTCAATGCGACTGTACCAGGCCCTGGGGGTTTGTTTCAAGCCATAAAGTGCTTTCTTGAGTTTGTAGACCTTAGATTCCTCCCCAGCAACCACAAACCCTTGTGGTTGCTCAACATACACATCCTCAGTGAGCTCCCCATTCAGAAATGCACTCTTAACATCAAGCTGTCAGACTGTAAGTCCATGATGTGCAGCAAATGCAAAGAGACACCTAATGTATCCCACCTAGCCATTGGTGCAAATACCTCATTGTAATCCACTCCAAACTTCTGAGCATACCCCTTGACCACCAACCTGGCCTTGTGCTTATCCAAAGAACCTGTTTCAGTGAATTTGGTTTTATAAATCCATTTCAAACCAATAGGGATAATACCTTCTGGCAGTTCTGTTAGTTCCCAGGTCTGGTTCTTCTCAATGCTGTGCATTTCCAGTTTCATAGCCTCATTCCAGATGTCCTCTTTGATTGCATCCTCAAAGGTTTGAGGATCTTCTGTTGTAGCAGCCATTGTCAACCATTCTGATTGTACTTCTTCCACACTGTTGCAGTCATAAATGGCCAGATGACTTGGAGGTTTTCTGGTTCTGGGACCCAGATCAGTGCTTCTAGGCAATCCCAGCACATCAGTTGAGGCATTATCATCATCTTCTTCATTTTCATTTGTCCCAGTTGGTGTGGCAGGGCTTCTGGACCTGCTGCTTCTTCTGCTGCTTCTTTTGGAGGAACTGGAGTGTCCAAAATCTAAGGACCTTTTTCCCCATCTGAATCAACAAATGGATCTTCACTTCCTTCCCAAACCAGACTTGTCTGAACTGATGGAGTTGCAGATCTCCACTTCCAACCTTTACTTTCATCAAACACCACATCCCTGCTCACCACAATCTTCCTGGTTTCTGGATCATAAAGCCTGTAAGCTTTGGATTCAGTGGAGATTCCCAGGAACTGGCATTGTGTACTCTTGTCATCCAGCTTCTTCCTTAGCTTGTCAGACACATGTGTATATGCCACACAACCAAAAATTCTGAAGTAAGATACTGAAGGAGCAACACCAGACCATAGTTCATGAGGGGTTTTTCCTTGGTTGGCCACTGTAGGACTTCTATTTAGGACATGAGTTGTCCAATTTACTGCTTCTGGCCAGAAACCTGCAGGCACTTGTGTGTCTTTCAACATGCATCTCACCATATTCATGACTGTTCTATTCTTTCTCTCAGCCACCCCATTCTGCTGAGGCGTGAGTGCAGCAGTGAGCTGCCTTTTGATCCCAGTTTCAATACACAATGACTGAAACTCACTTAACAGAAATTCTCCTCCCCTCTCTGTCCTAAGACACATAATAGACAGACCGGTTTCCTTTTCCACAGTGACTTTGAATTTCTTAAACCATTCAAGAGCCTCAGACTTATTAGCCAGATAAAAAACCCACAACTTCCTACTGTAATCATCAATCAGAGTGAATATATACCTTTTACCACCATTTGAGGTTGGGGTGATAGGACCACATAAATCTGCATGAATTAGCTGTAATTTTTGAGTTGCTCTCCATTGACTATGCTTTGGGAAGGCTTGTCTGGTTTGCTTGCCAATCTGACAAGTAGCACAGACTCCAACAGCACCTTTTAAGTCTGGTAAGCCTGTAACCAGGCCTTTCTTCTTCACTTTCAGTAGCCCTTCTGGATTCAAGTGACCAAGTCTCCTGTGCCAGGGACTCAGAGAGGATTCCTTGGTATCATCAGCTTGCAGGTAGTGAGCTTCAACCCTGTTGGATTCATCTTTAAGCACAAACATCCTGTTAGCTCTCATACTGGTTTCCAGCAGGAAATCCTTGTTTTCCATGAAAATTTTGCATACATTTCTTTTGACCAGGAATTCCAGGCCCTTCTCTTGTAACTGTCCCATGCTTAGCAAGTTTGTCTTTAAGCCTGGTACAAAAAACACATCACTGATCTGCAGTGACACACTTCCCAGTTGCAGCCTCACTTTCCCTTTGCCAGCAACCTCCAGTTTCCTGTCATTTCCCAGTCTCACTTTTCCAGTCACATTGGTGTCCAGATCACCAAACCACTTTTTATCTCCACTCATATGGTTGTTGCATCCAGAATCTAAAAACCACCAGTTCTCCATGCCTTCCATCTTGGAATCATCAAGAAAGGCCATGAGTAAAACATCATCAGGCAGTTCAGTAGAGTGATTGGAATTGCTACTGTGAGCAGAATAATGAGCCTGTTGATTGTTGTACCATTCAGGACACTCACTTCTATAGTGTCCCATCTTATGACACTTAAAGCATTCAACATGTTCTTTATTCCAGCCTCTTCCTCCCCTACCTCGACCTCTTGGTGAAAAACCACCTCTTCCTGCTCCTCTACCTCCTCTTCCTCCAGCTTCATATGTCATTCTCAAAGCCTGATCTTCCTCAGCCAGAGGTTTCTTATGAAACTTCTGTTCATGCACAAGTAAGGAACTCTGCAGAGCATCCACAGAGAGAGTTTCTATGTCCTTGGACTCCTCAATTGAACACACAACATAGTTAAACTTCTCTGTTAATGTTCTTAAGATTTTCTCAACTATCTTAACATCAGGCATGTCTTCACCACAATTCCTCATATCATTTGCCACTACCATTACTCTACTGAAGTAAGCTGTAATGGTCTCACCTTCCTTCATCTCAAGAACCTCAAAAGTTCTTCTCAAACCCTGCAACTGAGCTTTCTGAACACGAGCATTACCCTGGTACTTAGTCTTCATAGCATCCCACAACTGCTTTAATTTGTAGTAGCCTTGTTGGTGATGGTCTTCAAGATTGTTTTATCAATGGAACTGAACAAGTAATTTTTGACTTTAAGATCTTTGAGCCTGAGATCCTCAAGACTTTTGGATTCACCAGCAGTCAGTGGAGTTCCAGGGGCTGGCTCCTGAATACCATCACTCACCACTCCCCAGTACTCCTTGGATCTCAGCAAGTTCTCCATCAAAAGACTCCAGTGATCATAGTCTCCATCAAACTTTGGCAACCCAACCTGTGCAAAGGCAGCATTATCACTCATGACTGCTATGAAAGAACCTCTCACCCTGAAAATGGTTTCCTCACTATAATACCCTCGTGTTTCCCAATCCCAGATCCTGCAGATCACTCAAATTTCACTCAACACTCAGAAAGCTTGAAAGCCTCTCAAGTCTCAACACACAGCAATGGTTACAGCTTGCAAAGTGCTCTGATACCAAATGTAAAACACTTATGGATGCAATCTGACGAGTCTTTATTGAATTGAAAAACAAGTACATATAGGGTTTGAGATTGGCTCTAACTCTCAGACTGCTCTCCAACGTTCCACTAACCAAGAAACTCGCTAACACTACTAACTACTCAAACTGATTAAGCTGGAAAAGCTCAACAGCTTTGACTCACTAACCAGGGACCAAACTGCAACAAAACAAAAAACAAAGACTGACTCTGCAATAGTGCACAACGCAGGATTGCTTATTAAATTAGACCAAACGGCGCCGTTTCCTCCAGCAGTAAACAGCTTTCAAAATTGGCGCCTTACTTCTTGAATCCGAGAGCAGTAAGGTATCCTTGATAAATCAGGACTTCTTCCAACAAATATATCATCCAAACTTGGCACGCAAGAGTCCTTGAACAGAACCCATCAAAGCCAAGATGGAAGCAATCAAGCAGCCCAAGCTAAAACTCTTAAGAAGGACCCATTCCTTGGTCCAAGCTCCAATTCTCCTCTGGACCAGGTACATTTCCACGGGGAAGTAGATGGACAAAGGCCAGAAGTTGAACCCTCCAAGCACTCCTAGAATTTGGTTGAAGTAAGGGAACGCCATGGCCGTGGTTGTTGTCGACGCCACATACGCTGTCCTGAAGCACAACCTGAAGGCACTTACATTCCACACATGTTTGGGACACCATGGCAGGCTCAGGCTCAGCTTGTAGACGAACCCGCTGTGAGGGAAGTTCCGGCTAAACCACCCTTCAGCGAATGCGAAAACGGGCTGACAATACATCTGGTAGCCTCCCACCAAGTGGACAACGATGCAAGCATTTGCCAAGTCGATGAGCCAGTAGGGTTCGTAGAATCCGAACCCGGTCAGGAGATTGCCAGGAGTACTACTGTCGTCTCCAAATGCAGCGTAACCAAAGCATCCACAGCAGAGGTACAAGAACGTTGCGATGAGCATTACCGTCCCCGAAGCCTCCTTCATCGTCTTCCTCTCCGCCGGTGGCGACCTCACAGTATCCTGTACATTAATTCATATTAATTAACTATATTGTTACTTAACCCGCATTGATGCATGCATGGTTAATAAGAACGTACGTAAGGTGCATGCCAAACACAATGAAATGAATGAATTAATTACCTGTATCTCGAGATGAACGAGGGAGTAAGGGTAAGCATATACAATGTCTCCAATGGCTTGAAACGCTAGCCATGTTTTGGCACCAGCAGCACGGGCAGGGACCCCGGTTATGCTTCCTTTGATCTCTCCATTCTCTGCATAATTAATTTCCAAAATGACTTAGCAATTAGAATGCATGCACAGGTGATATAATATCATATATAGCCAGCCAGCAAATTTGTATGCATGCATTACCCACGACTTTGGCGAAACCAAGGCCCAAGCCGATGAAGGCATAGGTAAAGGACATGGCTGCGGCGACGAAGGAGAGCCATTGCATGTCATGGAAATGTGGGATCTGCGAGAAACCCACTTGGAAAACCCCGAAGAACAACATGATGGTGGAAATGAGACTAGTATCCCCGTAGTTATTATTGCAAGAGGCTTCATGGCCTTGTCTATGGTAACAGTTGGATTCCAGGATGGCTCTGCATGCATCATGCGTATTTGAATTATATATATATAGGGACCTCCTACGGTAACTTGGGTATAATTTCAAGTTAGGTAACTTGTATAGATCTAAACCGTTAAAATCTATCAAACTTAATTTAAACCATTGATTAAAGAAATAAAAAATAAAAAAATAAGTAAGAAAATAAAAGGCAACAGGGGTTGCCGGTCACCACTACACAACTTACCATTCTTAATTTTTTTCGTTTCCATTTCAAATTTAGTTGTTTTCCATATTTTATTCTTTCCTTTTTTAATTCTTATTGAATTAGAAGTGTTACGTAAGGCTTCCGTAATAACTTAGATCTTTACGTAACATGACGTTAATGCTCATTACGTAAAGAGACCTTCCATTACGTAAGGCTTTCGTAAAGATATTTTACAACTGTTACGTAAAATATACATTCACTACGTAAAGGGTTTTTTTGTTTTTTTTTTATAATGGTGAACTTAGCATTAAACGAAAAAGAAAGAGGGAACAAAGTCCAGATGGGTGCCGAGGTTCACAAGAGCTGAACCAAACACCACCCATCAAACAGAAGACAACAGACTAACAACAAACTAATAAGAAGCAGAAAGAAAAGATAAAGAAGGGAGCAAAGGAAACCAGAAACGACGGGGGAGAAGGACCTTCCATTACGTAAGGCTTTCGTAAAGATATTTTACAACTGTTACGTAAAATATACATTCACTACGTAAAGGTTACGGAATGATAGTTATTTCTTACGTAACAGTTACTACGGAAACGTTACGTAAGGCTTCCGTAATGACTTAGCACTTTACGTAACGCAAGGTTAATACTCATTACGTAAAAAGACCTTCCATTACGTAAAGGTTACGTTACGACAGTTATTTCTTACGTAACAGTTAAATCAGTAGCGTTACGTAAGGCTTTCGTAATGACTTAGCATTTTACGTAACGCGAGGTTAAAACTCATTACGTAAAGATACATTCTATTACGTTAGGCTTCCGTAATGATCTTTTACAACTGTTACGTAAGATTATCATATATTACGTAACCATTACGTAATGCCTATTGTATTTTACGTAATATGACCTGTGAAACCTGCTATAGCAGGTAAAAAAATTCAAGTTACCTTACTTCAAGTTATGGTAGGAAATCCCTATATATATATATGCAAATCTTATCTTATATATGAAGAAGCTGGAAGCTAGGAGTGCAGGTTAAAGTACGTATGGAGCCGGTGCAAGAGGAGAGAGTACGTAGTACTGTTTCGAACCTTATGCTGGTGGCGGCTGTGACGGTGTAAGCAATTGCAGAGCCAAATAGCTTAACCTGAACCAGTACTCCACCAACTTGGTGGCTCCTTTCTCCTGCCATGCATGCATTGATGAAAGTGGGATCAATTCGATAATGTCATATACATATATGGTCGTGTCTTCAGTTCACTCACTTTTTTTGGGTGCATTCAGTGCACTCGCTTCATAACTCTCATTTTAGACATGCGATTCATGTCAAAATGATGTCAATCATCATTTATGATATGATGAACAATAAAGCACATGAATTTGCACAAAAACCATTAAAAATTTACTTTAATTTGAAGGATTTAGAGTTTAGACACTTAGGGTTAGGGTTTACAATTTGGGGTTTATGAATAGAACTCAAAATTGGAGGTTTAGGGCTTAGGGAAATCTGTTAATTAGTTTTTATCATATGTTATATCATCATATTACACTAAGCAGATATTAACCACTGAGCAACAACGTCACCGCTTCTGAGGGTGATCGACCTAATAGACGAGTCCTTATCACGAAAGATGCAGGAATTCCTTTCGAGCCAAATACTCCAACATAATGCATGAAGGAAGACCCTCCTGCACCACTGTGATGGGTTCCTTGGCTTCTCAACACTCCAAAGCTTGATTCTGTCCGAAATGAGTCCAGCTCTGCTGCATCTACTCTCAATTTTGATGAAAGCCGACAGTATCTTCCAAACCTTCAGGGAGGTGCTGCAACTAACAAAAATATGATAGATGGATTCCTCATCTTCCCTACATAACGAGCATCTGTTCGGAAGGCAGAATCCTCTCCTCTTCAAGTTGTCAAGAGTTAGGATCCTCATATGAAACACTATCCAGAGAAAGATACAGACTTTGGGTGGAAAGTCATCCATCTTAGCTGGAAAGTCATCCAACCCCGGGAAACTGGCTTTCTCGAACTGACAATAAGTTGAATGCACGCTAAAGCCTCCCGACGGTGAAGGATGCCATACTAGTGATCATTCAGGACCTGCAACAAACTTAGCCAAAGGAAGGTTTTCCAACAAAGAAAAAAAAATCTCTCTCTCTCCCTAATAGGCCCACCCCGAAGATCAACACTCAAGGAATATCCCACAAGATGGACTCACCAGAAATAGAGAAGCAGTCAGCAACACGAGAGCTCCTGGATTCTGAAGCAGCGCACACCCTCGAAAATTCATCAGATAGGCGAGTTCCTTTGATCCAAACATCGTACCAGAAAGAAGCCTAGTGACCGCTTCCTTGTTCCACCTGAGCCAAAGCCCAAAACTTATCCCTAAGTTTCATAACTTGAGACCACGGACTGCAGCCCAAACTTCTGATAGCTCCGCCCGGAGACCATTCAGTCGATAAAGGAGGAAATTTAAAAGCAATCAATTCTCGCCACCAGGTTTGTCTCTCATTAGAGAACCGCCAAAGCCACTTTAGGATGAGAGCCTGATTATGGAGCATCAGATCGCGGATTCCCAGCCCACCACGATCCTTGGCCGTTTTGCATAAATCCCAAGACACAAGATGAAATTTATCCTTATCTTGCGTACCAGACCAAAGGAAGTCTCTCTGAACTTTCTCTAGACCTTTCACAATTCCAACAGGGATAAGGAAAAGAGAGCTCACGTAGCTACACTGACTTGCCAAGACCGAGTTGATCAAAACAATCATGCTGCCAAAAGAGAGGAACTTTCCTTTCCAGCTCTCCAACCTTGATATGGTTTTAGAAATCACTATGTTCCAGATTGATGGAGAAGACGGATGAACACCCAAGGGAAGTCCCAAATAGGTTGAAAGGAGGAATTTCCAATTGCATCCGAGGATCTCGACAAATCTCTCGACATTCTGCACATCTCCCACCGGGAATAAACAAGTTTTTTTCCAGATTTACTTTAAGGTCGGTGATGCTTTGAAAGCACGCAAAGGCGGCCATCACATTCATCGCTTCGGACTCATTGGCCTCACAGAAGATGATGGCGTTGTCAGCGTACAACAGGTGAGTCACTTCCCCACGTCTTCTTTCCTCGTTGATGTAGAAGCCCGACAATAGTCCAGCTTCGCTGATCTTAATGTTAGATGTACTTAGATGAGCTCCGGCCGATCTCAACAGTCAATTTTTGTTTTTCATTAAACCAAACTTCGGGTTGGGGTTTAGAAAATCGGTGCATGAGGTTTATCC